CTGGCGGCCTGGGCGGGGGCTGGGGCCGAGGGAAAGATGAGCGTCCTTCTAGAGCAGAAGGAGCAGCAGGAGAGGCTGCGGGAGGCCGCGGCCTTGGGGGACATTCGGGAGGTGCAGAAACTGGTGGAGAGCGGGGTGGATGTGAACTCCCAAAATGAGGTCAACGGCTGGTAAGTGGGGAGTGGGGGAGGCCTAGGGTCAGAGCAGTCACCCCGAGGCCCGGGCCTGGATCTGGGCGGTCGCCAGCGACCTCGGCCGAGCGCTGCCCTCCCTGCGCCCGCAGAGGTGCGGCCTGGTACCCGGGGCCCCCGAAGCGGTGCGCTCTAGAGACCAGCCCAGGCCCCGGCCTTGCGTGGTCAGGAGCCCTTGCTGCCCGGATTTCGGCCCACGTGGCCCTCCCAGGGCAAGCACCCACCGGAACCCTCGCGTGCCCATTGACCCCGCGACCCCTGGCTAACTTGGCCAGGAACGTTTCTGCCAGTGGTTCTCATATGGAGTTGACCCTAGTTCAAGTATTGGATTATTTTGTCATAGGTGCTTTTGAAGAATACATAAGTGCAGAGCAAAAAGCATAAGCAACTGAGCAAGTGTAAATCTTATAAGCTAGGACGACTTATTTTCCCAAGACCAGAAAAAAAAATCACTTGCATCACTATTCTGCTTCAGTGCAGCAGTGATTTGCAGCTGCCTGTTGAGGGTCCGGGTGACTCATTCCTTTATTCTACATTGTTTAGCTTTATTTTCTTACAAATTCAGGTAAAGAATTTGATCCAAGGCTTTGATGCCATTCTGTAATAGAATCCTTCCCACTCGAATAAGAAGTCTCATTTTAGATGCTCTGGTGGTCAAATGTTTACTGTTGTTACTAAATATGATGTTCTGTCCTCTTTGCATTTAGATTTAAAATTTTTATTTGGTTCCAGATAATTCTTAACTACTCTGTTTGCTGGCTTACAGTTAAAATGAATTTACACTTTTTTAAAAAATGAAGTCATATATTTTGGAACTGAAAGGGATATTGGAGATGGGTTCATCCCCAGAGAATAACTTGCCCTAAATAACACAAACCTCTGTGCTAAACAGGGCTGATAGCCAGGGCTGAATCGAGGTTTCCTGACAAATCTATTTACCCACTTTCCCTAAAGAAAACAGCCCATGAAGCTCTCTAGGAAACTAGGAGACAGTTGATACTGCCTTTACCTTTTGTTAAAGTTTGCAAACAAGCTTACATTTTCTGAGCATTGCTCTTTGGTCCTCAATTTGTGACTCACTGCTTCAGCACTGGGAGGCACTGTTGTGTAGAAGAGTGAGATTTTCCCTGCAGATTCTCCTGCCTAGACATCCCACTAGCTAAATCACTTCATTTCCCACTCATCTCAGAAGGCTGTTGTGAGCAAAATGAAATACTATATATATATATACATATATATATATTTCTATAGTTCGTATTTTTTGAGTTCTCAAGCTTTTTCTGTAGCTCCCAAGAGGTTCTGTAAGTTTTACATGTACTCATATTACAGTGATCACAACTACACAGGCACATATCTATTGTTAGTCTTTCCATTTTACAGAGGAGAAAACTGAGACCCCCCAAAAGAGTAAGTAATTGCTCCGAGGAGCAGGGAAACAAACATAGCATCTAACTCTAGACTCTGCTTTCCTAACCACAATTTCAGCCATGTAGTAGGTGCTCAGTAATTTATACACACACACACACACACACACACACACACACACACACATTTAAAGACTTTTTCTTATTTATTCATACAAGAACTGGGGTATAGGCCAGAGGTATGGGTTAAGGATTCACCAGAAACTGTGGGGAGCAGAACAGGCAGATCAACTGAAATACACTTCTGAGGGGAGCAGTGGGTGAGACAGGAGAGGTCTGTTGCAGTATGTGGGTCATTGAACTCAGGCCACAGTGGCTGGCCTTGATAGCTGAGACTTTAACCCCTGCGCCACCACGGAGGCCCAGTAACTACATTCTTATGAAGCTTCTTACAGATACAATTGGGGAAGATATATAATAGGCACCTCAAATTAACCACATTAAAGATTGAATTTCTGGTCTCCCATATCCCCCTACCAACCCAACCTCTTCTGAGTTCTGATCCTGGTGTCAGAGGTACTCAGGCCAGAATGTTGGCATCTTTCTTGCTTCCTGTCTTTCCCTCACATGCCCACACATCCATTCATTCAGCAAGTTCTGCTAGCTCCACCTTCAGCTGTCATCAGAATCTGATCATTGACTACCATGACACCATCAGTCTGTGCTTCAGTTATACTGCAGCAGCCTCCAAACTAGTTCTCAACACAGTAACCAGAAGGATCTGACTTAAAACATAAGTTGGGTCCTTTTACTCTTTTCAAAGCCTCTGGTCCCACGTTGCTCTGAGTTGAAACCCACAAAGCCCAATCGTTTCTACTCCCTGTCCTCCCATGCTCCCTCCCTACTTTTGTGCATCTTCTTAGAATTTGGCCCTTAGCTCCCTTCATTCTGCTTCTCTGGCCTCCTTGATTTTCCTGAAATATCAGGCACAATCCTGATTCCAGGATTTTGTTTTCTCTTCCCTCTGTCTGACATTTGCTCCCTCACTTTCTTCTTGAGCCTTTCTTTGGCCCTCAATTTAAAATCACACCATATACCTCCCCTGCTTCTCTCATTTCCTAACCCCTTTCCTTGTTTTATTGTCTATATAGCAATCACCACCTAACATGCTGCACATTCTGCTGCTTTGTGTGCTGATTACCTCTGTTTTCTCACCTGTAAAATGAGGGGAATATTGAAGATAGTACTGTGCGTAGATTTTATTTGTTTGTTTATGCATCCAAGAACTGGGGTACAGGCCAGAGAGAAGTATGGAGAGTGAGAGGACTCACCAGAAACAGTGGGAAGCAGAACAGGCGGATCCACTGAAATACATTGCTGAAGGGAGCAGTGGGCAGGACATGAGAGGTCTGCCATGCCGTGTGGGTCAGTTCCCTGACTGGGGATCAAACTCATGCTGCAGTGGCTGCGGATAGCTTCATCGTGCTATACTTAAAACCATTGCACCACCAGGGAGGGCCCTGCTTATGTATTGTTTATATGATTAAATGGGTTAATATATGTAAAGCCTATTATTTTCTTAAAAGCAGTGTGCTAGGTTACATGATATAAAGGTTATCTTCAAAGAACTCTCACTAGCCTAGAAAAGCAGAATTGTTATTGCTTTCAAGACTTGGTTTCTCAGTAACCACAATTTCATCACTGATGAATGATGCCCAGTGCCTCTGGCCTGAAATTCTTTCTAGTACTAATAGGCCATTCTAACTGCAAATTTAAAGCTTAAAGAGTTGAAGTTCAAAGATAGAGTTCCCAAATCAACAGTAATTCAAGCGTTATGCATACACTTTAGCTTTAAGGAGCAAGTGTAATGGTTCATGAAGAAGCTGAAAATACTGCCTGACTTCAGTGACTGAGCTATGGCTGTCCAGAGCCACACAGATCTAGACTGTAAATTATCACCCAGGACACAGGGCTGTGGGGGACATGCTGTGTTGACTTAACCCCGTTTTAAATGGTGATGCTTTTTAGCAAGTTGGTTTGTCCCAGAGGTTCAGACTCACTTGTAGTAAATTACTTTCTTCACTCTCAGGCTTGTCATGAACCAGTGATTTACTACTAGCCAGCGAGCACTTTATTTCCAAAAGGGAACATATTTTTCACATCATGCTCCATTCATTTTTGAGTGCTTATCATTTTAATTATTCACTCAAGCCTATATGCCATAGACATCCACACACAAACACACTCTTGGCTGCAGTTTGCCCAGAACCAAGATTGCGTTGAATCTTCTATGCTGAACAATAGCTACCTTGTTCTTGGTTCATTGAGCACCTCTCTGTCCTAGCAGATACTTCCTTATCTTCATGAAACTTGTATTTCGGTAAGATCAAGACTTCCCTTGTTTTTGGCAAAGTGGCACCTGGATAATCTGATTCTAATTAATAACAGTGCGACTGACCCATTGAAGTGTCAGTGAAGTCATTCCCAGTCAGTCGTCAGTCTAGCTCTATAAGTCAAAAATTGTAGGGTGTCCAGGGCAAATCACCTTTTCCTGGAACCAAACGAACTTTCTAAATATACATTCCAAGTTAGTCACCTAATCCTCACTGTTGAACATATGTTCTGTCCTTTATCATGTTTGTATTTGATGATAAGTCCTGAAGATATTTATGTCAACTAGAGTTGGTGAATGAGGACATTTCAAAACAGGGGAAAAATATATTTTCCCTCTCTAATTCAGCTTTGGCAACTGGGGATATATTTAGGAGCTCTGAATCCTCTCATTTCTGTTTAAATGGCGTTTTTGCCAGCATGCTAATTATATTTCTATGCAGTGTTAAAGTAATAGCCCTTCAGAGTGTACATAATATCTTCCTATGTGTACAATATTAAATAATTAGTTTTACTTAAATGAGTCTAATACGTTAGAAGATTTTGTTCTCCAAAGTTTTGGTTATTGATACACATTTTTAAAGTGCCTTAGGAATTAAAGTGTGTGTGTGGGGGGGCCTTATGTTTAAGCAAATGAGATATGTTTGTAGCCTTCTGGAGAGAACTATGGAAGCCAACTTGTTTTAAAAATGGAAATTTGGAAATCCTTTAGTGAAGGAAAGAAAAGTAAAGAGGAAAGAGCAAGCAACTGATATTCAGACAGGAGTATCTATGCGGGTAGTAATAATTTTAATGGCAGTAGCTCAGAGATAGTCTTAGCCTGATAATATATAATCTTCAAGTGACAGTTGATGCACAAGAAGTGAGTTGCCATAGTCCCTAAGAAGGGAGTGTGGTGATATGAAAATACAGTTTACAGATCCTGGTACAATCTAATGAGTAAGACTGAGAGTGACCGCAGTATCATTAGAGTTATCTAGCCAGCCACAGCTTCTAGAAGCCATTGAAGGAAAGCTGTTAGGATACATTAGTTCTTCCCAAAGGCTACAAATGAAATTTAAAAATAAAGTTTAAGCACATTAAATATTTTGATCTTTCTGAAAAGAAAGTGAGATTACCTGCCTGGTTTACATATTTATCTGCTAATAATGTGTCAAATTTGAAATTCCAAACCTCCTCTCTTCTTTTTGTATCACTGTTTTCTTTTTTTCTGGGACAGGACCTGTTTACACTGGGCATGCAAACGCAATCATGGTCAAGTTGTCTCTTACTTGTTAAAATCAGGAGCAGACAAAGAGATACTTAGCACTAAAGGAGAAATGCCAGTCCAGCTGACATCACGGAGAGACATCAGGAAGATTATGGGGGGTAAGTCTGTGTTGGGGCCATTTTTGAATTTGTCAGACTAATTTAAGACTTTATTGGCTGCTCCTTGATGCCAAACCACCAGTCTGCTTCTAAAAACAAAGATAGTATCACTGTGCCAAGATGGTAGATCTGTGCTGCTTCTGGTCAGGTAGACAGTACAAGGTTTTATTCATTTAATCTGTAAAATGTAAGACAATAAAGATAATAATCGTGAACCTGATGAAATACTCTTTCAGACTTGGAGAGGCATTAAGCAAAAATACTTGTCATATACCAGAGAACACTGACCTTCACACAACACTCTTTCTTGGAAATTTTTATAGGACTATGTAAATGTTTTGTATTTTCTTCTTTTTAAGTGGAAGATGATGACAATGACGACAGCCACCCCCAGCTGAAGAAGGAGGCAGAACTGCCCTTTGTTCCCAACTACTTGGCCAACCCAGCCTTCCCTTTTATCTACACCCCCTCAGCAGAGGATTCAGCCCAGCTGCAGAATGGGGGTCCCTCCACACCCCCAGCTTCACCCCCTGCAGATGGCTCACCTCCATTGCTTCCCACTGGGGAACCACCCCTGTTAGGGGCCTTTCCACGGGACCATAGCTCTTTGGCCCTGGTTCAGAATGGGGATGTGTCTGCCCCCCCTGCCATACTCAGAACACCAGAAAGCACAAAGCCAGGCCCTGTTTGTCAGCCACCAGTGAGTCAGAATCGCTCACTGTTCTCTTCCGTCCCGTCCAAGCCACCGGTGTCTCTGGAGCCTCCGCATGGGACATGTGCAGGACCAGCACCAGCATTCCAGCCATTTTTCTTCACGGGAGCGTTTCCGTTTAATATGCAAGGTAACCTCTGTGAGCAGACAGCCTCTGCAGTGGGACAGGTGGTGTCCAGAGTGTAGTGCTTCTCTTCCTGTTTGGGGGAAATGGGGTGGGATTCATGGATTGATTGATTTTGAGTATAATTGCAAACTTACAGAAAAGTTGTGACACTGAGAGAAGAAACTTTTTTACTGAGATTCACAAATTGCTTACCTTTCACCCTTTTACCTGAAAAATAAACTTAATTGTGTATTTCCTAAAAACAAGGATAGTCCCTCATGTAACTACAGTGCAATTATTAAATTTAGGAGATGTAATTTCAGCGTAGTACTGTTTTCTAATCCATAATCCATAGTTACATTTTGTGGATTATCTCAACAATGCCCTCCTTCCCCTGTGCCCTCTGCCCAAGACCACCATTCCATTTAGTTACATGTTTTCATCTCCTTTAACTTGGGACATCCCAGTCTATCCTTTGGACCTCATTATTTTAATAGTCCAGGCCAGTTATATTTGTACACTGCGATTTCCTATCATTCTTCCTCTTTTTCTTTAAAGATTTATTTCATTTATGCATACAGAACTGGTATAGGCCAGAGGTCCAGGAGGTGAGAAGATTCACCAGAGACAGTGGAGAGCAGAACAGGCAGATTGACTGAAATACACCACTGAGGGGAGCAGCAGGCAGGTCAGGAGAGGTCTGCTGCGCCATGTGGGTCAGCGCCCTGGCCGGGGATCGAACTCATGCTGCAGTGGCTGCAGTAGCTTCATAGTGCTGCGCCTTAACTGGCTGCACCACCAGTGAGGGCCCCTTCTTCTATTTGTTAGTTGATTTTCTGCTATAAAGCTGGACTTCCCTTCCCTATTTGTATCAGTAGGCACCCATAGATTCTTATTTTATTCATTGGATGTTGATATTGATATTATTCCAGGTTTGTGCTGAGGGAGCCCCTTTCAGCAGTTTTTGTGTGACTTGGATGCCTCCCTGTTGTACTTCGGGTGCAGCTCACATTCCAGGCTCCTGCTGTAACTTTTCCTGTCCAGCCTTAGAATCACCCATTTCTTTAAGGAACTTGTTCTTTTTGTCAAGAATGGTGCTCAGAAACCAGGATAGGAGCTGGGTGTGCTCATTGATACAGGGTGTCATTTCTTCTAGACCCACTCAGAAGAAAGAGAGGAGGAAAAGAGGAAAGCGTGCAAATAAACACAAGCATGTGTTCATGTATATACATATTTTCCATATCTATTAGATAATAAAACCGCAAGGTCTTCAGGGAACATCCAGACTTACGTTTCCTTTTTCCATATAAGTTACTCCTGCACATTCTGATTCTGAGGACCTGCTGCTTACCACAGGTGCACTAACAGTGGCCCAGGGACGCCAACAGCCTTCACACAGAAGGAGTAAAGCGGAATCGCCAACTCGTGTGGGTGTGTGACTTGGGCCATCTTGGCAGCCAGGCTCAGAATTAGGGGCTAACTGTTTAGGTTCCAGACCCACAGTACTTACATGCACGCACGCACACGCGCACACACACGTTCCCCCAAACTAAAGCTTCCTCTTTAAGGTGTGCTGCGTTCAAATTATAGTTAGACGTAATTTTTACGAGTGGCTTTGTCTCTCGTAGTGCTTATTGCAAGGGATTTCCTAAATACCTTTCGACTGACCATTGTGAGTGTGGGCACTCGCGTGCCGCAGCTCCTCGGCCGGGCCCTCTCCGCACCTCCTCTGCCCTTCCCCTGCGTATGTGTAGTTTGCTACGCAAACTCATTCCTAACTCTAGCAGCAGAAGTAAATTATCCTCCTCCTTTGCCTTTGAGAATCACAGTCCCAGGTGCAGGAGACAGCGCAGGAAACGCCTGGCAGAGCCACTGCTGGGCCTGTGCTAACCCACCTGTGGTGGCTTCTGCTCCAGGAGCGCAGGCCTTGGCCATCTTCTGGAAGAGTCGTGCAAGATTATACCGCTGACTGTGTCAGATTCATGCATGAACGTTTTCTCCCTTTTTTCTAGAGCTGGTTCTCAAGGTAAGGATTCAGAACCCATCTCTTCGAGAAAATGATTTCATCGAGATTGAACTGGACCGACAGGAACTTACCTACCAAGAATTGCTCAGAGTGAGTTGCTGTGAGCTGGGTGTTAATCCAGATCAAGTGGAGAAGATCAGAAAGTTACCCAATACTCTAGTAAGAAAGGTAAGAAAGGTGGTTAAATGTGAGTTGCTTTTTGCATTTGGAACTTAGCTTCTTTTGGTTATATGAGTCACAGTTGAAGAAACGAAATAGACTAGAAAGGAGCAAACAGGATGCTCTTCCACTGGCCTTGCTTTCCCTTTACTGAGCCTATGGAGACATTGGCATTTTTTGAGTTTTAAAGTACCAGAGAGAATTTTCTGATTTTGCCACTCACTTGCACCTGTTTCAGTTGTTCCTGTAGTGATCCGTAAGTACTATGTCCACGCTTGTGTTCCGTAACATAAGAACCAGGTCACGTGACAGGGCAGATACCTGGCGGTGCATGTGTTACCCTCCCAGCACCTCTGAGGTCCTCAAACACCAGGCTTCTGGCTCCTCAGGGCGTCCAAGGAAAGCTGACCACTGCATTGCTTCTCCTTCAAGGTGTGCTGGCCTGCTGCTGCTGTTAAGCACCCCACCTTTGTCACCCAGCTCATGTGCCCGGCACTTCCTTGCACCGTCACTGGCAGACTGCCACAGGAATTTTTTTCTTTTAGGCTTTAAAATGAACCAAGGTGGTAGTGTTGACAAGCACAGTGTATATAGAAACAAGTGACTTCTCTTAATCTGTTTACCCCATTTTAGGACAAAGATGTTGCTCGACTTCAAGATTTCCAGGAGCTGGAATTGGTTTTGATGATCAGTGAAAACAATTTTCTGTTCAGAAATGCTGCATCCACACTGACTGAAAGGCCTTGCTACAACAGGAGAGCTTCAAAACTGACTTACTAATGCAGTGGGGGACTTTCATCTGAGGATGGTGACAGTGTGTGTCACCCCAGGCCAAGGACAAGCCATTGATCTAAATGCCTTGGATGCCGGGAGGGCCGCAGTGCCACTGAGCAGACACACTGACATCGTTCCGCCCCGGCGGGAAGCCCTGAGCCCCGGGCAGCGGTGCCACTCTTCCAAGCCTCTTGGTGCACAATAAACCTATTGCTTGAAGCTGTGAACAGCTGAGAAGTGGTCTGGAGAGGGAGAGCTGGCGGCTCTCTATCCAGTGTGTTTTATGTGCAGAATGTAAGAGAGTTGTCTAAGCAGAAGCTGAGAGAGCAGAGCCTATTTCTGGCCACTCCTGTTGACAGTGCCCCTGGAGGGCCGCGCAGGGGGTGGTGTCCGTGCGCAGGTCTCTCCTGAAGTGTGAACTGGCGGAGAGGAGAGCTGGGGAAGCACAGGTACCGGGGCAAAAGGGTTTCAGTGTGACTTGTGGCTGTGCAGTTTCATATAACATATTTATAAATGTTAACTCAGGTTACAAGTATTTAAGAATACAGTTACCTAATTGTATATATGCTGTTAACCAAAAGAGCGCCCCTCCCCCACCCTCTGCGCACTCCCAACTGCTTCTCTGTCTCTAGTCTGCCAGGGCCCACTGCCATCTCTGCATCGGCTCCCCTTCTGGTCACTAGAGGGCTCTCTGATGCTTTGTAAACGAGCTAGCACTTTTTTAAACTGAAGTGATTCCTGTCAGCCACATGTTCATCGTGTCAAATGAGAAGAGCACAAACATTGCCCGTCTCTGTTTTCCACTTGCATTTTCCACTAGAAATGAAAAGCAATTTTTGAGACTGAATCTGTTACTATTTTAAAGGTTATTGTGGGAAACAGCTAAAGGAGTTAGCATCTTTATTTTTGTATCAAAGATAAAGGTTATTTTGAAATTATTAGGATTTTTACACAAGTCTTCGAAACAAATTGTTTGCTCCTGAGGACCTCCCCGCCCCACCACTAGCCACTTAAGAAAGTCAGTGTGACACTTGTCAGACTTTGTTTTGGAACAAAGACCTGGTCAAACTTGAGCATGGCATAGGAGTTTGGTTTTGGTGATTTTTTTTTTTAATACATTCAAGGATTCTTTTCCTTTCCTTCAGTGTCATTGCTGTTAAGAGAAAAAGCGCTGTCTTGTTGAAACAAACAGTTCCACTTCCGAAGTAAGAAGGAGCACACTGAGACAAACAGGAGGGCAGGGGCTCGCAGCCAGCTGTGGAAGAGCGTCCCTGCTGTCTTAAGAAGCTTTTCCCCATAGTGCCTGTAGTTTCCAAAGAAACTTAACTTCCTAACTGTGTTAATTTTATTGGAACATGTAGAAGATGTCAGTGGAGGGATGTTGTGCTAAGATAATGGCCTCCTGCTGTTGCCTAAATGTTGAGCTGAGTGAGGTTGAGGTGTTTTCAAGGCCAATTTCATGGAGTAGCTCTGATCAGTGGCTTAATTGTATTGCACCAATTACTGACGGTGACTTATCCTTGTGCAGCGTTTGCAGAGCAGAGGAAAGGTTACCTATTAGCCCCTTTCTCTGAGTGCTCTAAAGAAGAAACCTTGTGTTTCAATCCATCGGAAATTAGTTTTATCTAGACATGCTAACTTTTTTTTTTTTTTTGCTTGCTTTGCAAGTTGAAACTTACTGATATAATTTAAGGATGGTCCTATCCCGGGGTAGGTAAATTCAGTATTAATTCCTTCCTGAATTGCTGGGGTTGGGTTACATTCTTTCAGCCTTCCAGATCAATTAGAAATTTCCTGGAACAGCAGAGGTCCCTGGCTGGGTGTGGCCAACAGAGAGATAGCACCAGGGTCTCTCTTGGGCTTAGAAACAGGCCAGCAGGGGCTTGGCCTCTCAGGTGAGCGGTGGACCCCATATTGGTCCCTGCCCTGTGAAGTCCACTGTGCTCAAGTGACCCCTGTGCACAGCAGTGGGGGGAGACTGCACAGTTGCTGGTAGGTGAGTTTAAATCTTAATCTATGCATTCAGAGAAATATTTTTATATGCTTTGTGTAATTTATAACAAGGTTTTTTTTTTAGCTTTGTTAACTGTGAACTCACCCCTCCTCCTCCACTGCATATTTAAAGCATGTGTTCATACTATGTGTAAACATTCCCTGAAGATTTTTTTTTCTTTGTGCATTGCTGACTGTTCAGACATAACAGGTATTATTAAACTTAAATAATGACTGACTGAGCCCATATTCTTTAATTATGGCCTCTTAAGTAACACTCTACTTCAAATCTTAGGGGTTCAAATCAGTGGACCCTCCCAGGGAGAAAAGATGGGACCATTCTCTGGGACCATTCTCCACCTGAGCCCCCTTCAGCCTGCGGCTTCTGCAGTGTTCACACCTGACATGAACCTGGGGACGGATGCTTTGTGCATGGTCTTTCCTGTCCGTTCACAAAAGCCAGCTTCATTTCCCCAGGCTAGCGGAGGCTGTTCATGGGGGTCTTCCGTCATTAACCACACTTTTTGATTATCCTGTTCACTTGAAACAACTGAGCCTCTCTCCTTTGGGCTGTCAGCACCTGTCAGGGCCTGAATGAGTTCAGAAGCAAACTCAAGACAGGAGAGGAAATACAAACTTACACCTTCAGATCTTTAGCTTCCAGCAATGCCAAATGTATCTAGCAGCATTATCTGCTGGCTTAGGACAGCTAGAGCTTCACAAGCAGACGTCATGCCAAATTGGCCTAATAAATCAGGGATCATAGCAGAGACCTTTTCATAGTACCAAGGAGAGGCAGAATAATTTGGGCATTTGTGCATTTATACTTGCTTAATCACTAGAATGGAGGTCTTCAACCACATAAACGCCCTGCGCAGAAACAGTCTGCCCCAAAAATGAGATTAACCTTTAACAAATGGTGCTGCAACACGGGCACAGAAAAAATCCGAGTAGCCATCCGGGTGCAAACCACTTAGGGTGGAAAAAGAAATCACTCACATCACACCAAGGAAAAAGATACACACGAGAGTCAGGAGACCAGAAAAGGAGTAAGGCAACACAGAGGAGGATCCATTTCAGATATTAGCCTTGTGCCAGGGAACTCTGACCCACGGAGAAGAAACTTGTAGTCATCTTGCTCAATAAGGCAAATTGAATTTGCCTCATCTGGCTTCCCAGCCTGGAACTGTCATCACAGGGTCCAGACTCGGGGCTGCTCTGTGCCCCCAGACTGCTTGGGCTGACCTGAGGGAGATGGGTAACTCCTGAGGGAGATGGGTGGCTCCTGAGGGAGATGGGTGGCTCCGAGGCCTCACTGGTTGTGGGGACCAGCCTGGAGCAGATGTCCAAAAGGGCAAGGAAATAAAGCACTGTGCACATCTCAGCCCTGAGAGAAACAGGTTTGGAGGTCTGTGGTGTGGGGTGATGTAAACATGGAGGTGTTCACAATAGCTCTCTCAAGAGGTCAGGGGTCAGATTTCAGGGGCTTTATTTCTCTCCTTTGTACAGTATCTGCACGGTGCATAGGAGCTATTGGCAATTAACCAGTGAATTTTGGCTGTAGAGATAATATTTTCAGCCAAAAGCTCTTACATCTGAAGTTTTCAGCTAATTCCAGTCATGTAGCTGGATAAAGCCCTCGTCTGCCTCTCCCCCCTCCTCCTTTTCTCTCCTTCCTCCTTCCTTCTCTCAGAGGTCCTACTCTCCAAGCCTGGTGAACAGGCAGAGGAAGGCTACATCAGGGTATACATATTGTTGGCCACATAGCTTTATTTCATCAGTGCTCCAATTTTACAGGGTTCAGCACCCCAGGCCACACGACTCAGTTCCTAGGGACAGTCTGACCCAGCAGTCTTCTGTTTCAGGAGGAAAAGCTTTATTTTAAAATAAGGTACTTCAGGGTAGAAAATGTGAACAATCATGGGGGATGGATAGGTCATTCCTTGAAATGGCTGAGACAGTACAGTGGGACATAACACTAAATTAGGAAGCAGGCATGTGAGGACGAGGCGAGGCTCTGCCTCCAGCTGGCCGTGACCTTGGCATGGAGGTCACCTGTTTGGCCTCACTTGCTCATCGAAAGCACTGTTATCCTGTGAAGGGCTTTATGGGCAACACCTAACCCATGTCTCCAGCACATGTGATGTCCTTTCCCTTTCTGACAAAAACCAGGAATGACCAGGAGGAAATCTCACAAACAGCTTAGGCAAGTCCAGCATCTCTGGCCATCCCGTAGAAGATGCCTTTGGCAGCAATGAGGTTGGTCGGAGAGTCAAATTCAGCTACCAGCCCTTTGTCCAGGACCAGGACCCTAGTCAGAGGAAAGGAGCAGTCAAGTGTGCATCAGCCCAGATTTGACCTCACGGTGAACCTTTTCTGGGTATTGCTCAGGCCCTGCAGTGACATGCCAACCCTCCCACTTCAGTCAAACCACCCAACACAGCTGCGACGCCAATGTGCACACTTGCAAGGCTGGCTATTTTAGCTGCTGCCTTTGCTCTCCTGGCAAACGAGGCGCTTTCTGGGATCAAACACAAGGTCCTATTCATCTCTCCTAGTCGGGGCTCCGAAAACCTTCCCTAATGAGCCCTTCCCCTCGCCAGGGTCGCAAGACTGTGTGTAGGGAGCCGGGGGCCTGTGTGCTAGGCTCTGTGAGCTTCCATTTGCTTTATGCCAATTCACAAAGGCCCCCGGCAGGAAAGCAGGCTGCCGTGAGGCCTGATACTGGAATCTGGGACTTTGGCTGCAAATCTGGCTGCTGCTGCTTGGTGGGTCTCCCCAACACACATACACACTCACACACAGAGTCAGGCCTGTGCCCAGGATTAACTCCACCAATCTAACACAGAGTATACCAGGCCCAGGGCCAACAGGATGACTCCTCGGGTGAGACAGCAGCAAAAGGGCATCTCCCAGGAAGATGTCCCTCGACAGGGCCCAGGCCACACTCTGGGCTCCTAGCAATGCATGCTGGGAGTGTGTGTGTGTGTGTGTGTGTGTGTGTGTGTGTGTGTATCAATGCCTGGCCACTGTCCAAAGTAGCACCCAGGAGACTCCTCCCACCCCATCCCACCACCAACAGTGGCTTCTCTCTGCTGTTGGGGGAAGACCTGAATGTCTTATCATGACCGTGAAAAACAGCAGAGAGGAGCCTTTCCCACTGTCCCCTCATCTTGGTCCTACTTTGCACGCCAGCTCGCTGTATCTCCTACCTCAGATACTCTGCATATGTCCCATCCTTTGCCCGAAGTGTTCAGCTTTCCCCCTATTCGAGCTCCTCTTTCCCACCCTCAACTCTTATTCATGCTTTAGGGTCTGACTGGTGCTTCCTCTCCTTAACAGAGAAAGTATCCTGTGTGGACTAACTTCCTCTGGCCTACACTGGGGCCTCTGTCTCCTTCCTGCAGGCTCTAATTACATGTTCAGTAACATGAATGTTTGATTAATTTCTACCTGACTCACTAGAATGAACAAACTCCCCAAGCCCAGGTCCGCTATAGGATTCCTGCCCGTCAGTTAGTCCTGAAGACCGATCTTCTCAACCCAGCCTTGTTCTTGCCTTAACCCAGGGAACAGCACGCCCTGCCCACCCTTCCATCTCCCGGAGAGGGCCCGGTGGCGTGGGGGAGGGCCGGTGGCCTAGGGCTGGAGCAGGCAGACAGCAGCGTTGGGTATTCTCTGCCTGTCCCCAAGCCCCTGGCAGTGAGGTGGGGGACACTGCTTGCCCCACTAGGGTCTATGGCACCACCCCCCTCAACCCCCGTTGCATTTATGTTGTGAACAGAGGCGTGGTCCCCCCACCATACTCCTCAACACAGACTGCCGCAGCTTCTGCCTCCCTCTCAGCTCCCATGTCTGCCAGGGGACCTGCTAGCCGGGCCAGGAGCAGCTCACTCCAAGAGGCTCTGAGTCACCAAGGCCCTCTCCTTGTCCTCAAGCACCACCCTCCACATCAGACAGTGAGGGAACAGGTCCCAGTTTTTCCTTTCAGCTCCTTTGCTCTCCTGGCAAAGAGCTGCTTCTCCAGGAAAGCGCAGAAGTTCAGAAGACACAGCCCCTTCCCCAGCTCTCTGAGAGCAGGTGCTGTGGACAATTACTCTGAGTAGTGATGGAGGAGTGACCACTTCCCAGGAATGCCTCCGCATTAAATGCTTTCTTCACTGCCTCCTCCCAAAAGCCATTCCTTGTGGAACAAAGGCTGACAGAGGTCTTGTGAACTGCCAAGGTCACACGGCTTCAGCCGCAGGCCGGGGCCAGGGGTCAGCCTCTGTCCTCCCACCAGCCAGCTGCAGGGCCCAACCCACCAAGGCCAGGCCCCAGGCCTCCTGCACCTTCTCTCAGCAGCCTGTCTGTCTGCACACCCAGCAGATGGGTGAAAGCTGGAGGGAGGCAGCCCAGTTCACCCTGCCCAGGGCACCCGGGTATGTCCCTGTGGGGTAACACCAAGGTGTCCTGTGTCTTAGGAAACATCACTGGGCTCCCCATTCCACTGGGTATCCCCACTGTTTTGCCCCTGATTCACAACTCGGAAAGCCCTGCTCTGCACCCCAGGCCCCAGACAATCCTCTGAGCTCTCTCTGTCCAGAAAACCTTAATTGGCCTGTCCATTCCCTAGGGCTCACCCTTCCTGGGTGGCAGCGCCTACCTGGTGTAGTCCATGATGGTGTGGAGACGGTGTGCGATGGTCAGCACTGTGCAGGCCGCAAACTGGGTACGGATGTTCGCCTGGATGAGGTTGTCCGTCTCCAGGTCGATGGCCGCCGTGGCCTCATCTAAAACCAGGATGCGGCTCTTGCGGAGCAGGGCTCGGGCCAGGCACACCAGCTGCCGCTGCCCTATGCTGAGGAGGAAGGCAACCGTCTCCACCTGGGCGCCCACCTGCCCGCAGCCTGCCTCTAGACCTCCCTCCCAGCCATGTTCCTGTCTCCACACCTCAGTGGCCCAGGCCTGGCTTTCCGCCTAACTTCGCCCGTGTCTGCCTTAACCCAGTCCTCCTGGAACAGAGCTGAGGTCTGGATACCACAGAATTACCTTGTGGGTATAGCTTGTGCCCCAAACTGTAAAAGCCCTAGTCTGTCTGCAGCAACAGCAGCCTCTCTGTGCTTTCTTTCCCATTCTCATCCTCAGCTTGGGCCATGATGCTTCGAGGCTTCACCTGGCTTACCTTAGTAAAAAAACACCTAAAGGGCCCTCGGTGGTGCAACGGTTAAAGCGCAGCACTATGAAGCTACCTGTAGCCACTGAAGCATGAGTTCAGTCCCTGGCTAGGGAGGTGACCCATATGGCACAGCAGAGCTCTCCTGTCCCCTCAGCAGTGTATTTCAGTTGATCTGCCTGTTCTGTTTCCCACTCTGTCTCTGGTGAATCCTCTCACCCTCCTGCACCTCTGGCCTGAATCCCAGTTCTTATATGCATAAATAAATAAATCTTTAAAAAAGAAAACACTTAAATAACTTCCTGGATATTTGTATACACTAGGCCACGGCTGAACCTAATATCACACAGGCGACAGTCACCTCCTGCCCCCATGGCGGGTAAAGGCCAGGGCTCTGTTGTGGGGATGAAGAAGGGACAGGAGAGGAGAGGAGATAGGAGCTTCTCCTGTCTGGTCACTGGGAGGTGGCAAGGGCAGAATGCATCTCTCCAACCTCTCCCCATGAAGCCAGAGCCAGGGAACAAAGCAGGCTGTGTTCCCAGCCACAGAGGCTGCAGCATCCCACACCCAAGGACAGATACCTCAGCCCTTCCCAAAGGGGTGACTCACCACAGACCAGTGAAAGCCAGCCTCTCTCCCTGGCCCATTCCCGAAATTAATGAAGGTTTTGGCAACAGAATGAACCGTCAGATAGGGCTCAGGTCTGATTGATGGTGGGACTGGCACAGACACAGGTTGTGCTAAAAGCACCTACAGCTCGGGAGAGCGGCACAGAGCCAGCGCCTGTGTCAGGTGCTGCATACGTGGGGGCGGGGGGTGCACTGGGCAGGCGTGGCGGCAGCCTGGTAGCGGAACCCAGGCCAGGGTGGGTGCCGGGGCCGGGAGCCTGGGCTTGCCCGCCAGCCACCCTCCTGTGGGTGTGTAGATGGAATCACACACTCAGTCTTACAGGACTTTGGGGTGGGGCAGGGGTGCGGAGACTGGCAGCTCCATCAATGGCTATGATGCAGCAAGGAGAGGTTTGGGGCAAAAAAACCAAAAACCCAACTATCTTGCTGAGTCCCTGCCCTGCCTGTTGCTAGCTGAGTGGCTTTAGGCAAATAATTTCCTAGCAGGGAAGCTCATTTCTGGTGCACGCAGTGTCGTAAAATTAAATGAGAAAGTCGGGGCCAAAGGGCTTTGAACACGATTAAGCTGAGAAAATGCAAACGTTTCGTCTTTGTTTTTGAGGTCTGGAGAGGATCCATGAGTAGGGACTAAGCAAAACAAAACGTTTTTTAATAATTATTAATTATTATAATAAATAAGACCAAGAATATTGGAACTGCCCAGGAGTGTATCCAAGCCAGGCATTTTCCACTGCATCACAGGCACCCTAAAACTGCCCTAACTGGTGGCAGCCCCTGGCCACACTAGGCGGCAGAGCTCAGGAAAGGCCGAGAGCCGGTCTGCTGGCAGTGTGACAATATACATGGGATTTTAAACAGCAGGAAACAGGCAAGGACTTCTATCAGGTATGTGTTGAAGTGAGAATATTTTGGATAGACGGGGTTAAATAAAGTCCACTACCAACTTTTGTTTTTCCTTTTTAAAAACATGGCGACCAGAAACAAATTTCACATGTGTGGTGCCATCATGTCTTTATAGGGCATTACATGGCTATGAGATGGGCACCGTTACTGTCCCCATTCATGTGTGAGGGAAAAGGAAGCACAGGCGGGCCAAGCGACTTGCCCCGTCATGCATTTGCTGCTCAACAGGCCTTTACACGCAGTAAGGGGTGACCAGCCCTCCCCGACCCAGTGGCTGAGGATATAAAGTCTTTTTTTTTAATGCATACAAAACTGGGGTACAGGCCAGAGGTGGGGAAGGAAGAGGATTCACCAGGGACAGAGAGGGGAGCAGAACAGGCAGATCTACTGAAATACACGGCTGAGGGGAGCAGTGGGCAGGACAGGAGAGGTCTGCCACGCCACGTGGGTCAGCTCCCTGGCTGGGGATCGAACTCGTGCTGCAGTGGCTGTGGTAGCTTCATAGTGCTGAGCTTTAACCCGTTACGCCACCAGGGCGAGCCAATATAAAATCTTGGTTATGAGAGGCAAAGCAGGGCCTGAAAGCTCGCTCTCTTCATCTGTAGACGAGACTCTGTCCACCTAGGAAAACACCCAATTCCCTGAAGCACGATAGGCCTCCTCTGAGCAGTCAGCATTGCCCTCCCGGGCCAGGCACAGGCCTGGGAACCGCTCCCGAGCAGGGCTTTGGAGTCTCCCGACCTGGTTGAAACCCCAGGTGTGTCTTCTCCCAGCTGTGCGACCTTGGTCTGCCTCGTCGGCAAAGTGGGACTGTGACCAGCTCTAGCTCGGAGGACAGGGCGCTGGCTGGGCTGTGTCCTCTACCCCACAGAGGCTGCTTCTGATCTCCCCGCGCTCAGCTGTTACCTGAGGTTCTCGCCACCCTCGGAGCACTGGAAGTCCAGGCCTGCCGGCTGGGAGCTCACAAAATCACGCAGGTGGGACAGCTCCAGGGCCTGCCAAATGTCCTCCTCAGAATATTTGCCAAAGGGGTCCAGATTCATACGCAGGGTCCCCGAAAACAGGACGGGGTCCTGGGAACACAAGGAGGACTCAGAGGGAGGGAGCCCCGGGCCCCAGGCCTGAGGGTAAAGGACAGGACGGAGGTGGCCGCATTCCCACTCTGTCCCGGCCCTCAGAGGCCGGTAGCGGCCAAGGAAATAGGAAAGTGTCTGTAGGAAAGTGACAGACCTCAGCTCCGCCAACCCCGAAGTCCTCTGCCCAAGCTTCTACGCTGACTCTGGAGTGTTGAGTCAGCGAAAAAAATTCCCCAGAGAAGCCAGCGAAACGTGAAATCACAACCCTGAGCTGTGAGACAAGGCACCACAAGGAAGTCCAGGGACAGGATACTTGGAGGGGTCCTGTGGTCCTGGCCCTGGCCCTTGGCCCGGGGAGAGGAGGGCAGGATCCGGGCCTGTGGCACACTGAGCCTTCCACATCCATGCTGGGTGGCCCCTCCGCTGCAGGCCTGCCCCACCCCCACCCTAGGGTGGCTGGCCACTGCTGAAGATGAAGCTGAAGGGTTAAGTTGGTCTCAGACCCTAAAGCACAAGAAAGAAACTTCTATCTGAGACTCACTTCATACAGAGCCAAGGCAAAAGGCCTACCAACAGCCTTGGCCGTAGTTCCAAGGCTGACTGGGGGCAGAGATCACAGCGGTGGAGTGGATGATCTGGGGCAGGGACACACCAACAGAAATTCCCGCCCCAGCCCTCTGAAGAAAAGCCTCGTGTCACACACGTCATGCATGACCTGCCCTGTGACAGGACAGTGAGCTGCAAACAAGTCCACGTGTCTCTACCCCAACCTGTTTTTCAGTCAACAAAATTTAACTCCATTCTTTCCCACCCTGGTCCCCAAAACCTATATGATCTCATTTCCTTTCTTCAAGCAAGGAGGTAGATTTGAGTTTGTCTCCTATCTCCTTGCCAATCAGGTCACAAATAAAGCTGATTTCTCGAATACCTGAGGTCATTATCTGGTCTAGGTCTGTGTGTGTTGGTTGGTGGGGGTTGGGGGGGGCGTACCCCCTGTTAAACCAGCATGGCCACTCTGGGCAGGCTCACCTGGGGGATGATGGTGAGCTGAGAACGCAGGTCGTGGAGTCCAATGCTGGCCACGTTTAGGCCGTCGATGAGGATTTCACCTTCTGCGGCCTCCAGAATCCGGAACAGGCAGAGGGTCATGGATGATTTGCCAGCCCCAGTGCGCCCCACAATCCCCACCTGGTTGGGGTGGGGAAGGGGCTGTCAGGGGAAGGCTGAGACATCCTTGACAACATTCCCAGGTTACCCCCCCCATTCCCCCCAGAGCCTGAGCAGGAGGGAGCTGGGCGGCAGCGCCGGTTCCCCTCAGGCTGGGGCTCCCCACAAGGACTGTGACCACGTCCCAGGCACAAGCCACTCCACACACACCTTCTCGCCGCCGTGCACTTGCAGCGTCAGGTCCTTCAGCACCAGCTCCAGGCCTGGTCGGTAGCGCACCGAGTAATTTCGGAACTCCACCTTGCCCTGCAGGGGCCAGCCCGTGGAAGGGCAGCTGCCAGCCACCACCCAGGGGGCCTGGCCAGAGGGAAAGACAGGTTCTGCACTGGGGGGCACCACTTCCCCAGTGGCCTGGCCCTACCCCACTTTTCAACTTCCTGCCCTCTCAAGGACCCCCTGCAGCCTCATCCAACATAGTTCCTGGGACAGCCCCTAGGATCTACCCTGTGTCAACGAATCCTTTATCCCTTTGACTTTATGCTCTAAAGAGCTCTAGTCCCCCCTTTCTCCATTTGCTGTTATCAAGTGGCTACTCCATGACATGTATTGGGGTCACAATGATGAGCAAGATAAAACCCCTGCTCCGGTGAGGCTTACATCTTAGAATAGGGGTGATCCTGATGGAGGGTAAGACTGAAAGGCTGGAGGGGATGCTACAAGTTCAGGAGACTTTTCACGCAAGGAGGTAGGGGTAGAAGGGGTTGGTGTAAGCCATTCATCAAGTTATGGCAACCAAGACTCGTAGGCCTCAACGCCTAGATCAGGAGGCACAACACCCTGACAGGTGCCAAACTGTTGCAGGTTCAAGAGCACAGGCCTAGAGGTGAAGATATGGGAATTAAGAACAAACCATCCGCTCACGAAGCTGAGACCCTCCCTACTGAAGGAAGATGAGAGAAGAAGATGCAGGAACCCAGCACTGCCCCACAGAGGGCAGTGGTGCTGGGGTGTGCAGGGCTGGGTGGAGGCCAGGGACGTAGAAGAGGACAGACTGGGAGGGTGAGGCGGGAAGGGGGCTCAGTTGTGATGCACAAGCTCAGGGACAAACGTGGTGATGCAGCCACAGGGAGCCACTTCCAAGGGGAAGGGAGGGCTCATTTGGCTGAAGCCACAGAGAAGCTGAGTTAGATGAAAACAGAAGGGTGTCCTAGGTTTGCAACCTCAGAGGTTAGGGTGAGCTATCTCAGTGGCCCCAGAAGGCCTAAAAGCAGACTGTGGAAAGCAGGTGAGTTGAGGTATGAGGAAGTGGAGACCTTATTTTCAACAGGACTGGTCCTCCCTGGTGCCACAAGGGGTTAAGTCACAGGACTATGAAGCTGTCGGCAGCCACTGCGGCACAAGTTCGATCCCCAGCCAGGGAGCTGACCCACAGGGCACAGCAGACCCCTCCTGTCTTACCCGCTTCTCCCTCAGCAGTGTGTTTCAGTACATCTGCCTGTGCTGCTCCCCACTCTGTCTCTGGTGAATCCTCTTAGCCCTTACACCTCTGGCCTGTACCCAAGTTCTGTATGCATAAATAAGTAAATCTTTAAAAATATATAAAACAGGCCTCGTGACAAAGGGGAACAAAGAAGTGGGTAGCAGGACATAGGAGGTGGGGGCCTGCTGGTGTGTCCACACGGCAGAGGTGATCGCATGCGGCCGGGGCCCCTCCGGCAGAAGCAAGGCAGACATGCGGGAGACAGAGGGCCCAATGGAGGAGGGAAGTCCTGAGTGTCCCTGTGAGTGGGACAGTGGGCTCTGAAACGGGGTGCAGGCAGGGGACGTTTCCTGTTACAAGAAAGGAAGAGAATAGGGAAGGGCAGGTTTGGAAGTCTGGAGACAGAAAGGCCAAGAAAGTTCACGTTTGATAGATAACTGCTTTTCTCACTCAAGTGTCAAGCAAGGTCAAAAGCTGAGCATAAGAGAGAGGGAGATGAGCGGATTTGAAGAAAGAAATCTTCAAAACAGACCTTTTTGCAAGTGGAAACATGTGTTTCTTGGAGAAGCAAAGCCAGACTGCCCAGTGGTGGTCTGTGGTGATAAACTCCAAGTAGCACCGCAGTAAGTGGTTTTGCTCCAGTTAGCTTCTAGCTGCTGAGTGCAGGCCCAGAGGGCAGATGTACCTGGCTGGGGTTTGCAAGTGCCTGGGGAGGGGGGGGAGGAGAGAGGTACAGGGTGGGAGTGGAGAGCTTGGGCCTAGGAGGTACAGAGTCCCGGCTAGGTGAGCGGATGGAGGGCCAAAGGCAGGTCTCGGCATTAGAGGCCCAGTGAGGACAAAGGGCTGTGAAGGTGAAGAGCTTGAACAGGTGAGCTGGTGGGAGGCATGAAGTGGTTTACAAGTGACAGTTGACATGGAGTTCTCGGAGGTGGTGCAGCTTCTGGGCATGAAGAGGTCTGGAGTACGACCACAGAGGGAGGGAGAGGAGAAAAGTATGAGCCCCCAGTAGGTGACAGCTCCCTTTGCTCAACCAGGACAGGCTGCCCGAAGTTGCCTCCTTGACTCCACTCTCTTTGGCTGGAAACTTACCTTCCATGATCACCCCAACTGAATGGCCCCCTCTCTGCCCTCTTTGAGTGCATCACCTCAGAGTTCCTGTCACCCACTGCACAGCCTCACCTTTCTCACTAAGTCAGAATCTGCTCAAAGGCAGCCCGGTCTGGCTCAGCCTGGAGACCTCTCACCTGCCAACAGAGCTTACTGGTGCTCAGTGAGGGCTGCACGGACGAATGCATGCGTGAATGGAGAGCCCCCGAAATAGCTGGCCTTGGGGTTTAGAGATGGGCCTCCCAACACCCATCTTCAGCTGTTCTAGACCCCACCCCATCCCGCCACAGGTGCAGCCCAGTGCTCACCTCTGTCTCCGTCTTAGAGTATTCATTGATTCTCTCCACGGCCACAATATTTGATTCCAACTCTGACAGCATACGTATTATCCAGTTCAGGACCAAAGTTACCTGGCCAAGGGGACTGGGTTACGGGGAGCGGGCGCTCCCTCACCTCCTGCCCTCCACTCCCCTGGCTTTGGGGAATTCACACTCCTTGATTATGCCCCATGGACCCGCGTGGCCCTGGGCAAGCCCATTGGCGTGCTCTCTGGGGCTCCAACCACAGTTGCTTTTCAGGCAGTGATAACTCACGCCTGAAACTAGGGCCACCTAGACTAGTGTTTCTCAAACTCTAATATGTAGAAGGGCTCCCCAGAGAATCTTGTTAAAATGTGGCTTAGGATTCAGTTGATCTGGGTAGGACCTGAGATTCAATGCAACGGGTCTTTGGACCACATTCTGAGTACCAAGGAGTCTCGATAGACATGTAGGGTCTGGAGGCCCAACCTAAGCTACTGAATCGGAATCCACATGACTCACCTACACATTCAATCTTGAGAAGACTGATCTGTCTACGTGGTTCTTGCTTACTAACGCCTTTAAGATCTGTACCCCCCTGAAGCCTTGGAAATGTGGCCGACCTCACCAAAGTCCCATTTGCAGTTCCTCAACCCTTTGACAATACGGGCTTATCCCAGGGTGACATGCCTGGTCTCCTGTCCAGGCTCTGTTTACTTTCTCTGCACTTGAAAGGACTTGGATACCAGGCCTGTACTTCCCTGCACCGCCACCTCGGCAGGGTTGACCACCTACATGTGCACATATAGGACTGTTCTGTTTGTCTTTGGGTCAAGCTCCAAGACCATTTCTCCAACACCCTGGGGTAGTGAAAACCCTGCTGGGTTTTCACAGCTTTGTGCTTTTTCCTCCACAAATATCTGCTCCCACGAGGACCCAGTCACTTGCTGGTGGACCTGTCTCTCCTTGTTTGAGCTCACAACCCTGGCGAGCAGCACCTGTGGCTCCCACACTGGGCAGAGCAAGAGGACACCTGGTGGTCTCTGTGCCAGTGGCAGCCTGCCCTGAGCCCAAACTCCTCCGTACCTGTAGGGCATAGGACACAGAGAGGCCCACCAGCCCTGGGCTCAGGCTGCTTCTCCCAACCACACTAAAGAGTATAGCAAAGAGCACCACAAAGTTTCCTATAGACTCCACTTGGATCCCCAGCCACCTGTGGAGACCAGACAAGGGAGAAATGGGGCAGGCGTCAGAAAGGGTGGTGCTCTGTTTAGGGGGTACGAAGGCTTGACCACCAGGATCTCTCCTGCAGAGACCCTCATGGGACTCCTAGGGCAGAAGGGGTGAGAGAGAAGGCTTCTGACCGGTTGGAGGCAATGTAGGGGTACCAGATCTTCTGGTTGGTGTCCACCTTAGCGTCACTGATGGCCTCAAAGTCCTGACTACGGCCATAGGCTCGGATGACACTAGAACCCGTCACTGTCTCCGAAAAGTGGGAGTAGATGGGCGAGCAACTGATGGATTCCAGCCTCTTCAGTTGCCTTGATGTGGCCACATAAAAGCGCTAATGGAGAATGTGTTTGGGTCAGGACAGTTGTGCATACCATCCGAACCCAGCCAGCCCTTCCCTCCTAGTCTCCCCCAGCCATCCCTGTACTCCCGGTGAGGCTTGCTGCCTTCCACCACGAGAACCCAAGATGTGGGTTCCTGATGTGGCCCCATCCTTTCCCTCAGTCAATTCTGCTCCATCTTCCAAGCCATTTCCTCCAGGAAACCTCTCCTGGTTTCCCTTCAGCTCCTGGCCTCCCCCCTCTGGAGAGAGCCCAGATTTCAGGACTGAGCTTGTTTGACCACCTACATCAGTGACCATGCCTTTCCCCATTGAGGTGGCCCTTGAAATGCGCTCACACAAATACTTTTGCAAAATGTGCAAAATAGGGTCACTTTGTAATCATTTTCTTAAAGTTGTTCTCCGGACTCTGCCTGCAGGGGTTTAAGTTTCAGTCCCATGAGCTGATGCCTCTGCTTCTCCCCCTGCCCTCCGAGTCCCAAGACAGCCCTAAGTTTGTGCATTTGAGAGTCCCCTGTGCCGGCACAAAGCACAGGAGGTCTCAGTACACAGGGGCTGAGCGTCTATCCACCCTGTGTGTTATCATCTGATACTTCCTGTCAAGACAGAACTCAGTAACACGTGCGCCGCTTACTGATAGCTGTATCTGAACGTCATCGACTCACCTATGTTCAAAACTTACCACCACATATATGTTTAGATATGCAAAAAGAGGAACAAAGGATAATGTTTCTCAAATAGTTAAAGAGATCTTGTTTAAAAACAGCCAGCAGGGCCAGGGCCAGTCACAGTTGACAAAGATTTCATTTTACCCTAGCACAACTCCTACAACATATGTTCTACCTTACAAGTGAGGAAAAGAGGTGAAGTCACTGACTATCCTACCGGTTAGGGGCGGGGAAGCCACAGGATGAGAGGCCTCCCTTACGGAAGCCACGCCCCCGCGGACTGGGCCCCACGAAGCCACGCCCCACGAAGCCACGCCCCCGCGGACTGGGCCCCACGAAGCCACGCCCCCAAAGCAGCTCCCCCACGAAGCCACGCCCCCACGAAGCCACGCCCCATAGCCTAGTCCCTCTTGCTCACTGCCCAGCCCACCTGCACAAAGATGTAGACAGCAGCCAGGGGCACGATGACCACTGCAAAGAGTGGCGTGGTGGCCACAATGACCACGATGGTGGATAAGGCACTGTGGAAGAAGTTCAGCAGCATGAGGGTGGCGGGCACTAGGACAACATCGATGATGTTGATGTCCTTGGAGAAGAGGTTGAGGATGCGACCTGAAGGCGTGGTGTCGAAGAAAGACTGCGGGGAGCGCATCTTGTTGTGCAGCAGCTCCTGGTGGAGCAAGCCCGCAGCTTGGACACCACCCACCGTCATAGTGATGGCTGCGAGCATCACCAGGACCCCTGTTGCGGGACACAGAGCAACTCTCGCTCACCTGGATCAGGTAGAGGGCCACGTAGGGGCAGGTTCACAAATGCAGAGTAGTCCGGGGTGAGCTAAGCAGACTAGAGGCAGGGGGCTGCTAGAGCAGGTTAGGGAAGCTTTGGGGCAGGGCAATAGCTGTGATGGAGGAAGACTCAGTGGTCAGGGCAGAATGGGGGGACCCAGTGGCTGAGAGATGAGGATGGGGCCAGGGACGCTGGGGCCCTTTCTAGGTATCCCTGAGGCTCACCTTGCAGAATTCCCAAGGCAGCATAGACTCCCAGCCTCAAGGAGGTGTTGTTCTGTCGGCCCGTCCCAGCCTCATTGGTCCAGGCACTGAGCCACATGTCAGCTCCAATGGCAGCTGCGCTTTGACCCGCATACAACAGACAGACCACCAGTGTGGTGCAGAGCCCCACAGCCTTGGCATAATCCCTGAACACGCTCAGCTTCACCTGCACAGCCACGGTGGTCAGGGACAGCGGTCTCTGTGCCCAGGGATGGCTGGCTCCTGCCCAGGATGTACCCCCCCCAGCCCTCCCTGCCCACCATACTCACAGTGCCCGCTGCTGCTTTCTCCTCCTGCACCAGTGTGCCTTTGCCTTCACCGCCCCTCAGCTCTGTCTCTGCTGCCTCCCCTAAAGTTTCTGCTGAACCCAGGTGTCTCCTGGGCACAGACTGGCCCTGGCCCTCCTCTTCTGAGGATATGACACTCAGCTGTCTGTGGAGGCAGCAGGTCAGGCTGGGAAAGGAGGACCCACGGGAGAGAGCCCCAGAAAGAGGGTTCAGGCCACAACTGGAAGCCCAGGGTGTGCATGTTTCAACTGCTCCTCACCTGGAGATGCAGCCTCAGGGGCTCACCTCATGAACTGTTTCTTGTCTCCATACATGACTGGCTCATCATCCATCAGGTCTGTGCGATCACCGAGAGTATCTTCAGTCAGTGGCGCCTCCTCATCCTTTGCATCAGCCAGGGCTGCTGGGAGGGAGGCGAGGGGAGGAAGGACACAGAGGTCAACTAGGTCATCCCACAAGCTCCTAGTGTCCCCCCATCCCAACCTCAATGAATGCTCAAATATAAGAGAAAGTGAGAGGGACTAAAAGGGCAGCAAGAACTGTCTCAAAAATAAATGACCAGTTTTGTGTTGGAAGGAGTAAAGGCAGCATGAAAGACATAGGCTAGACCAGAAGAAACACTTCCTATCAGGACTATGGAGAAGGGGACCCAAAAGAATAAGAGTTAGGAACTTGGGCTCTGGAGTCAGGCGGACTGAGTTTCAGTCCCACCTTCTCACTGCATGACTTTAGACATATATGAAATGAGGGTAACAATGGTGCCTGTTTTATTGTGTCACTGTAAGGATTAAAGAAAATAACATGTTTCAAAGGCTTAGCAAGGGGCAACAAGACATGTTCACTGGATATATGTCAGTAGGCAAGAAAACCCAGGAAAAGATATGTGAGCCAGCCCAGAATTTGGGGCTGGGGAGCCAGCACAGAGCAAAGAGGTGTGGGGATCTCACGAGCCCAGAAATGTCAGTGTACTCCTTCATGGAGATAGGGCCTATTTGCTGCTATCTCTCAGTGTCTGAAATAATGCCTGTATAATTGCTCAGTAAATATTCATTGATACAGAAGTCACTTTTCCAACCACTTGTATATTTACCACCCGATGTAGTGTGAATCAGCTTAACTGTATTAGCCAGACCTGTCCCTCCCCCTTTGACCCTTGAGACCTCACTGCTGACCCAGGATTGCACTTAGGCAAGCGGAGGAGGGCCAGACTGCTGCCAGGCCACTCTCCCTCTTGCTGATGTCCTTTGCCACACAGGTGGTCCAAGTTTCCCCAAACTGTTTAGCACAACACTGGGGTTGTCTAGGAGTGCCCTGGGAGGGCAGGGGATTCCGGAGGGTCAGAGATGGCAAGTACCGGCATTGCTGTCATCCAGGTGATCTCTGTTGGGTGCGAAGGTGTGTAGGAAGCTGGCAAAGGAGCCTCTGCGCTGTAGCAGGGCTGCGTAGGAGCCCACCTCGGACACCTGTCCATCAGCGAGCACTGCGATGAAGTCTGCCTGCGGCAGGAAGCTGATGCTGTGTGTCACCAGCACCCGTGTCTAGGGAGAGGGCAGCAGGTCATCCCCACCACCGCCCTCGACACACACCCACATAGGCATGCGACCACACGGTGAGTTTGAGGCACCCTGTGCCAGAGAGCATGAATAGGCACAACCGTGACTCACCCAGTATTCCCTGTGCCTACTTGGTGTGTGCCCAGCCTGGGTCTCCCCTGCAGCCTAACTGCACTCCTGCTTCTCAGATGCTTTCCCCCACCTCCCAGGCTCACTAGACCCCCCAGGCCTCCACCAGTTCTCTCTTTTAGATCTCCCCTTTGCCTCCTTCAGTCCTCACCTTGCCTGCCAGCACCCCTTCTGGCCCGATGACTTGGTCAAAGATATGCTTGGCCACATGGGAATCCACTGCTGAAAGTGGGTCATCCAGCAATAATATGTCGGCGTCACTGTAAACAGCTCGGGCGAGACTGACCCGTTGCCGCTGGCCCCCAGACAGGTTAATGCCCTGGATGGAAGAGGGAGGTGAGAGGTGGGTGCTGGGGAAAAGGGAGTCAGACAGGTTAGGGCCTTGTCCAGGTCAATCCATGGCAGGCCTCCAAATGCACACTTGATGTGCCTGGTCCTGTCCCTGCGATCTCTAAGGTGACAAAGGAAGGGGCCTTAGACTCCTCCCGGGCAAGTGGGAACATCCTTTCCTTTAGTCACTACCCTGGCTAGCTGGAATCCCCCCGCCTCCTTTATTCTCTGGGTGGCTGGAAACCCCCATGAAGTCCTTAACAGACCCACTTATCTCCTTTCACCCATACAGTTTGTAGATGACTTTCACTCCAATTTGGTTCTCAGATCTAGTCCTTCTAGTCATCTTAGGGGTTTTGTTAGCTCTAGTTTCTAGATGAACAATTGGAGTCCAAGATGTTAACGACGTTGTCCAAGGTCCTGAATAATTAAAGGGAAAAGAAAGGACGGAAACTCAGCAGTACTCCAGATTTCATCAACCCTGACAGATGGTTCAGTTGCCAAAGATGAGGCAAGATCTCTCCATTAATCCATGGTTGGAAAACTGAGGGAGACAGGAATGGGCCCAAGTGGCAGAATCCAGAGGAAGAGGCTGCTTTCCATTCACCACTTTCTTTAGTCCTTCTGGAACAGGGCCCAGCTGTTTGGAATACTCTGAGAAGTTGATCCTTGGGGAGCGCAAATGTGGGTTGGAATGGGAGCTGTAGGGGAAGATCAGGGCACAAGTGTGTGGTTAGACTGACAGGCGTGTGAGCAGGCCTGCATTTAACCAACAGTCTTTCTCCAGGGCCTCCTATGTGCTGGGCACTAAGTTAGGTTGGTGTGGGTGCAGCAGGGAGGGAAAGAAAGAGTTGTGTCATGGATAGGAAGGTCTCCTCTGGGTATCTATAACATTGGACTCCTACTTAAAATGACCTCACCCGCCTTGCCAGACTCAGACTCTGATCATTTCCCCCAGATGAGTATAAGAGTCTCCTCACAGGTTCCTGTACTTCCAGGGGCAGATTTCCAGAATGCAGTTCCTGTTCCTTCTTAAAACTGACACATTGAGCATCAAAGGAAATAATGATGGCAATGCATTATAGCTCATTGAGTTAAGTGAGAATTCACAAACCCATATTGATAGAAAGAAAATGTGTGACTAAATAAAAAAGGGGAGGAGGGGAAAGTTCTTTTTCAGAGTAGAATGCCAACTACTAACTACAGAAGGAATGAAGTTAGGAAATCACCATTTAGTAAGCATCTTAATAAACACAAACTCAAATATGAATCATACATGGAAGTTATGTAATGAAATCACCACCTCAGTCAAGTGATCAAAGTTAACATTGGCAAGAAGGCACAACTGATTTCATGTTCATCCTCATTTGTTGCACCAAGGATGCAACAGTGTTCTTTGATGTTGCACTGAGAAACATATAATCTGAATGTAATTGTGCTTAAGTTGAGAGACATTCTACAAAATAACTGGCTTGAGCACTTAGAAAATGTCAAGATCCTGAAGCCAGAGACTGAGGAATTACCCAGATTGATAGAGAACAAAGAGATATGACAACTAAATGCAATTCAGGATCCTGGGTCAGATCCCAGAACAAGAGAGAAGATAGCTAAAAAAAAGACATTATTGGGACAAATGATGACATATGAATACAGACTGTGAATGAGATAGTAATTTTATATTAATGTTAAATTTCTTGATTTTGATCCTTCAACTAAAGCTATGTTGTAGAATGTCTCTATTTTGAGGGAATATACACTGAAATCTTTAGTATAAAAACAAAAAACAAAAGACCTAAAGCTATAAAACTCTTAGAAGATAAGTTGGGGGAAAGTTTTGCGTCACCATATTCGACAATGAGTTTTGGCTGTGACACAGACAATAGAAGTAAAAACACACTCATAGAATCATATCAAAATTAAAAATGGTATATAAATGATAACTAACAAAGTGAAAAAGCAATCTATGAAATAGGTTTGCAACTTATAAACCTGATAAGGAATGAATATCCAATACATGGAAATAACTTATACAACTCCACAACAACAAATCAAACATCTTCATTTAAAAATGGGCAAATTTTAAGATGGGCAAAAGACTTAAATAGACCGTTCTCACAAATGACCAAGAAGCACGTGATAAAAGGCTCAACATCACTAATTGTGTAAATCAAAGCCTCCATGAGATAACATGTCACACCTATAAAATGACTGCTTTAAAAAAAAAAGACACAAACACACACACAAAACCCAGAGAATAAGGAGAGTTGGCCCAGATGTGAAGAAATTAGATGCTATGCTTGTACTCTTTTGGTGCAACCAGTATGAAAAGCAGTATGGTAATTTGGGGGGGAAAATAGAATTACCATTTGATCTAGAAACTTCACTTCTGTGTATATACTGAGAAAAATTAAAAGTAGGATCTCAGAGAGATATTTGAACACCCATATTCATAGTAGCATTATTCACAATAGCTAAAAAATGGAAGCAAAACAAGTGTTCTGAACAGTAAAAATAAAATAAAACATAAAATGAGATCTATTCATACAGAGGGATATTACTCAGCCTTAAAAAGGATGGAAATTTTGATATATGCAACAATATGGATCTACTTTGAAGACAGTATGCTAAGTGACTAAGTCACAAAAAGAGATACTATGTAATTACCTGTATCTGAAGTACCTGGAGTCACATTCCTAGAAAGAGGAAATAGAATGGAGTTCTCTAGGAACTGGGGGTAGAAGGGACTGGGGAGTAGTTGATTATTGGGTAGAGTTTCAATTCTGAAAGATGAACAGAGCTCTGGAGGTTCATTGCAAAATGGACATGCACTTAACACTGACATGCACACTTCAAAATATTTAAGATGGTAAATGTAGGCCCTCCCTGGAGGCACAAAGGGTTAAAGTACAGCTCTATGAAGCATGAGTTCAATCCCCGGCCAAGGAACTGACCCACAGGGTGCAGCAGACCTCTCCTGTCTCACCCGCTGCTCTCCTGAGCAGTGTATTTCTGTCAATCTGCCTGTTCTGCTCCCCACTGTCTCTGGTAAATCCTCTCACCCTCCCTAGCCTCTAGCCTGTACCCCAGTTCTTGTATGCATAAAGAAATCACTTTTTAAAAGATGCTCAGTGTTATGTATATTTTATAAAAATTTTTTAAAGTTTCACTGATATTCCATTGTTTTTAGGGTAAAGGCCCAAATCCAATGCTCTGCCGCACCCGATACGCCCTCCCAACCCCATCCTAGTCTCCAGTTACTCCAAGTTGTATCCAGATGCCAGTTCACCCACACTTCCTCGGCTCACATCTCCCAAGAAGTCCTTAGAAGCCCCTGTGTGACCCGGCTGACTGGTCACCTGTCTGACCTCAGTTTCTCCTTCTCACCCCTGCTGGCCCTGCGCCAATCACACGGGCCTCCTGGCTAGTCCTGCCTTGGGGGCTTCATACTTCATGCTCCCTCTGTCTCAAATGCTCTCCCCACACCAGCTCCCTCTCCCCAGATTGGGCTCCCCCCTCACTAGTCCAGGTCTTGGATTCCCCAAGCTACTTAAACATATAGCCACGTACAATTCCCAAAGTCTGCTTCTCCTTTATCCTCTGCTGCAAATGTTTATCTAATAGATTTTGCTTTTCACTGCTTATTGTCTCTTGCCCCAACAGGACTGTAGGCTATATGAAAGCAGAGATTTACTGCCTTCATATATTACTGACGAGGGCCCTCCCTGGTGGCGCAGCAGGTTAAAGCACAGCACTATGATGCTAGAAGCAGTCACTCCATGAGTTCGATCCCCAGCCAGGGAGGTGACCCACATGGCGTGTCAGACCTCTCCTAGTCCTCCCACTGCTCCCCTCAGCAGTGTATTTCGTCGATCTGCCTGTTCTGCTCCCCACTCTGTCTCTGGTGAATCCTCTCACTGCCCCTGCACCTCTGGCCTGTACCCTAGTTCTGTGTGCATAAATAAATAAATCTTTTAAAAATAATAATAAAAAATAATCACTACTGTCTAGTATTGCCTGGCATACAGCAGGTGTGTAAGACAATCTGGTGGATGAATGAATGAGTACACGAGTGATGTGTTCCTTCTTCCTTGCTGTTAAGATTCAGCTCAAAAGTGATGCTTTTCCTAGGAAAAATACTGGCTGGTTTCACTCATAGCAGGAGTATAATGGACCAGGCGGGAAAATGATAATAATAATGAACAGTCATAAACCAGAGACATTTTACGGGGGTGGAGTGGGGAATGGGATCAAAAACAATGGCGGGAGGGAAATGCACTGCACTATGGTGATGGCACACGGGTGATTTGGTGATGGGAAGCCAAAGGGGAGTACAACTGAGATGGAAAAAGGTACAAAGTGATATAAAAATAAGCCATTGTATTATTTTTTTTTTAAAAAGATGCTTTTCATACGCAGCCCCGCCTCGTGCCCTCTTTTGCCCTGCAGAGGCCTGCAGCCTGGGCTGTGCAGCATTCTCCTGCTAGTCACGGGTTGGCCACTCCCACTAACAGATCTGTTTCCCAGAGCCTAGTCCAGATCTGGGCTGATGATCCCAGAATGTGTGAAGACGGGGGGGGGGGGGGGGGGGCGCAGAAGGGAGAGACGGAGGGAGGAATACAGGAGCCTGGTCTGGATTGAGGCGAGCAGCTGTGTGTGCTGACTCCCCCGGGGGTGGGAGGGGTCCCAGTACCTTTTCTCCAATCTCTGTCTGGTCGCCACCAGGCAACATCTCCAGGTCCGGCAGCAGAGCACAGGCCTCCAGAGCCCGTTGGTAGCACTTGGGGTCCAGGGGCCGGCCAAACAGCACGTTGTCCTGAAGAGTGCAGTTCTGGATCCATGCCTGCTGGGGCACATAGGCCACGGAGCCCTGAGGAGAAGGCCATGGGCGAAGGTTACCTTGGGTTCACCCAGGGCCCGGCCAAGCTTCCCTTCCCACGAGACCTTGCTTCTCTCACCTGTACATGCACCTCGCCTTCCAGCTTCTCCATGTCTCCCAGCAAGGCAGATACCAGGGAGGACTTCCCACAGCCCACAGGTCCCACCACGGCCACCAGGGCTCCTGTGGGCACCTGGATGTCTAGGCTGAGGGCCAAGAGGCCAATCAGAGTCAGATGTCAGAGTCTTGGTCTCCTACCTTTTGCCTGCTGCCTGAAGCCATTCTCCCGCCGGTTCAATGGAGCAGGCAAGCCAAAACCCTTCCTGCTTCCCGGGACAAATCCTGGGAGGTGTTTGCTGAAGGTCTAAGCTTCAGCCCACTTTAAGCAGCTAGAAGCTGATACCTGTGCAGGGTGGGGGGCAGGTCCTGGGCCCAGGTGAAGGTACCATTGTGTATGGTGATGGCATAGCCTGGGGGGAATGAAGGTGGACAGGGTCAGGGCACCAAGGGTGAGGGAAGTGGATCGGGGGGGAGATACTGAGAGGTATGGGGAGCCCGAGTGAAGGCTGGGGAGCTTAGGGGCAGGGTGAAGAAATCCTGTGGCAGGGGCAGGGAGAGCCCTGGGGAGGCAGGAGAATGGAGGAATGGAAGGGAGAGAAGAGACCAGAAGAGAGAGGCAGGCAGAGAGTTGAAGGAGTCTAACAGAAGTGAGAGGAGGAAGAGGGATGGGAGTCGTAGAGAAACGTTGGAGGACTTGGGGCAGAAGCTTCTCTGGAGCAGGCGCAGGGCAAAGGCAGCCCAGCAGGGCGGCTGGACCTGGGGAGATGGCCTTTCTCTCCACACTCCGGGGGTCAAGCTGGGCTTGGCTCAGGAAATGCTGGATCCGCTTCAGAGACACACTGGTCTGTAGGATAGTGTGAGTCAGCCTGGCAGCTGTGCCTGGGCCGCCCCCCCCCCGCCCCGCCCTTGCTCCCAACTCTCTGAATGAGGCTGGGCCCTCCTGCCCCTGTGTCTTCACTGGCTCCCACTGTTAGGTCCCAAAGAATCTCAGCTGGGAATTGGACTTTGTCTCTAGAATTCAGGCTTCAGGGAATTCCTCTGACCCCAAGTGACCTCGTTCAACTCTGAACAATTTCCCATAAGGTGAAATGGCCCTCTGGCCCCGGTGACTCCCTGCTTACCACCCCCACCACTGCCTACCCTAATTCCAGCCCTACCCGTGTTACCTGGGTTAGGCTGCTGATGAACTGGGGCAGCATGTTGAGGGGGACCTTTAATATATTGAACAGGGACACGGACACAAAGGCCCTCTCAGCGTCCAGCACGTTGTTCTGGTCCACCAGCACGTACACCCCGAGGGTGACCAGAGTCACCTGGGCACAGGGCAGGTGGGTGTCAGGTTGGAGGCTGCTGTACCCCAGGCACACCCCGAGCCCAGAGATCTAGGCTGGCGGTGGGGGGGTGCCTCACCAGAAAAGGGGAGCAGACCCAGGTGAAGGTTGATATGGCGTGGAGGTAGGCAGCTTTCCGAAGGAGCCGGAGCTCCTGGAGACGGATGTCTCCCACCTGCTTCAGGAAGGCAGGCTCCCAGGCATACAGCTTCAGCATCTTGATGCCCCCCAAGATCTCGCTTATCAGCTTGATGCGAGAGTCTTTGAACTTCATTTTCTTTACCTGCGGAAAGAGTGGAGGTGTTTCCCCTGCCCCACTTCTGCCTTATTTCTCATTGTTCCCACAGACCCTGGCCCAGCATGGCACACGGAATCAATTTATTCACTCAGCCCCAAATGAGTGAAGACCTCGGATGAGCTGGGCCAGGTGCTAGATGTGGGACAGGTAACAATGGCGAACAACTCGAATCAAATGCCCTGCCATCAGGAAGCTGACAGTCTGGTCGGGGAGGCAGACAAGAAGCAGGCCGAGTAAATGTGTAATAAATCAGTATGCTTATCTGAAGGGGAACAGCCGGATTCTGTGAGAGAAAGACAGGGTGGGGACTGGATATTGGTGTTTTTAACAGGAGGTAAAGGAAATGGACAAGCGAGGAAGGGTGAGGTGCATTCCAGGGAACAGAGTGTGTGGTGGCTCAGAAGTAAGCAGAGCTTGTGCTTTAGAGAAAAGGAGGCCAGACTGGCTGGCACTTGGTCATACTCGGAGGGGTGAGGGTTTGCAGGGTTTGCTGGAGCCTGGTGGGAGCCGGGTCCTAGCGGGTCTGTCATGGATCCATGTGCAGCAGGAAACTGTTGAAGGTTTCAGTAAATGCTGGTAAATGAAGGACTGAATGACTGGCTAAATATTTATGTTCAACACAGTGTGGTGGGAGAAATTCTCACTAGACCAGGTGATACAGGTTGGAACCCCAGATCTGCCTCAGTTGGAACTTCCACAACAGGGGTCTTGGTCCCTCAGCTGCAAAATAAGGCAGTGCATGCTGGGAATGCAAACTAGTACAACCACTATGGAAAACTGTTTGTAGTTTTCTCAAACTGCTAAACATGGAGCTTCCATATGACCCAGCAATCCCACTCCTAGGTATCTATCCAAAAGACACAAAAACACTGATTCAAAAAGACATCTGGAGCCCCCTTGTTTATTGCTGCTTTATTTACAATAGGAAAAACAAGGAATCAACCCAAATGCCCAAAAGTAGATGACTGGATTAAAAAGATGTGGTACATGTACACAATGGAATATTACTCTGCAATCAAAAAAGATAAACCCATGCCTTTTGCAGCAACATGGATGGAGCTGGGAGGGATCATGCTTAGTGAGATAAGCCAAAAAGAAAAAGAAAAATACCAGATGGTTTCACTCATAGCAGGAGCATAAACAACCAGGGGTGGGGGAATAGTAATGAACAAATATATACCAGAGACATTTTATGGGGGTGGAGTGGGGAATGGGATAAAAAATGGAGGTGGGGGAGGGAGTGCACTGGATTATGGTGATGGCACATTGGTGATTTGGTGAGGGGATGCCCACAGGGATTACAACTGAGATTGAAAAAGGCACAGAATGATGTAAAAATAAACTATCATATTATTATATATTATTTAAAAAATTGTAAAACCCAAATTAAAAAAAGAAAAAAAGGCAGTGCCCAAGTCTTTCAGGGTTACTGTGAGGCTAGAGAGCAGACTGAAGCTCCTCAGGAGCTCCTGCTCCTTTGTAAAGCTGCCGACCTCAACTCCATATCAACCTTCATCTGGGTCTGCTCCCCTTTCCTGGTGAGGCACCCCACACCCCTGCCAGCCTAGATCTCTGGGTTCAGGGTATGTCTGGGGTGCAGCAGCCTCCCGGCAGAGCCACCCACACTCAGCGGGAGTAGGATAGAGGAGAGGCCTCAGGTTGGGGGTGCCCTTCCCCTCCCTACCTGGCCAGGTACTCCATCACCTGTGAGAGCACCCACCTGCCAAGCCTGCATCTTCATGGCTATGGCTCCATTGAGTGGGATCAGCAAGACCATGAAGGTGACTCCGGCCAGGACGGAAGGACCCAGGTTCTGAGGTGGGGAGGTAAGAGGGACAGACAGATCCCTGGAGTGTACAGACAGAACCCAACAGACAGAGGCCTAATGGCCTGAAATGTAGAGATGGGTGGGACGCAAAAGCTGGTGGTCAACCAGAGTGAGCCAGAGGAGAATACATAAAGGAAACCAAAATAAGAGCTTTGTGTACAGCAGTGGTAGACAGGGACAAACACGCAGACCTCAAAGGGCGTCCAGACGCAGGCAGACACAGAACTCGGGCGAGGACGGCCAAGGGCACACAGCCAGGGAGGCCCTCCCGCCTCCTGGGCTCTGCTGGAAGGCTGAAAGACCTGATAGCAGACCCCAGCACAGCCCTGTCTTCACCCCAATATCTGGGGAAGCGCTGGTGCCCATCATTAGCCCCACTGCTGACCCAAGGACAACCCTTTCTTGTCCCTTCTTCGGATTCACAAGAGGGTAGAGTCACCTGCCAGAGGAAGTAGACAGCCAGGATGATCTGCAGGGGTGCTGACCACACCAGGTTGATGTAGGGGGCAGTGGTCATGAAGCTCTGGGCATCCACTGACATGAGGTTGACAATTTCTCCCACAGTGGACTCACGTTTGACTGAATTGGTGATGACCAGGGCCTGCAGGTGGGCAGCAGGTGGTGGGCTGGGCCCAGGAGCTCCCCAGGACTGGCTCCCACATCTACCCCAACACCCGCCCACCCCCGGCCCCGCTGCAGCTGACCTTCCTGTAGATGAGACCTATGATGCCCGTCCGAAGCCTCAGTCCGAGCACAAAGATGCGGTGGAAATACTGGTGTAAGATCAGGGTCTGGGCCATGGAGCACACGAACATCAGCCCGGCCAGCAGGAAGCCCCACCAGCTGGGAGCATCAGGGTTTGAAATAAATCTGATGAGGATGCTGCAAGGGGAGAGGGTGTCTTTATAAGAAAAAGGAGAGGGACGTGTGCACAGAGATGCCCGTGCACAGAGATGCCCACGTGCACACACACACACACACACACACACACACGCACACACATGTGCGCGCTCACCCAGGACACCATTCTGATAGAGGCAGAGTGGAGTGATGTGTTTACAAGCCTAGAAATGTCAACGACTGCCAGCAACCACCAGAAGCCACGTGAGAGGCATGGAACAGATTCTATTCAGAGTCTCTAGGAGGAACCAAGACTGCTGACGCTTTGATTTCAGACCTCTGGCCTCCAGAGCGGAGAGAGAACTCATTTCTGTTTTAAGCCACCTCATTTGCACTCTTCTGCTACAGGGGCCATGGGAAACACACACCCTCCCTCACTGCAGACCCTGCTCAGGGCCGTCCTCTGTTCTTGGCAACGTCCCTAACAGACTCCACCTCGTCTTCCTCTGTTTTATGGTCTCCCTGCTTCTCTGGAGGCCATGCCTTCAGGAAGTGATCTCTGGGTCCCTCCACACCCCAAATCCTGGCCCTCCCAGTCCTTCTTCTGTCAGAGCTCTCTAGGGTTTTGCCTGGGTGCTCCACACGGCTGTGTTGGGGAGCTCAGCCACAGCTGTGGGCCACGGCTCCCATCCTACAGCTCTGAAACATGCTCTCTGGCTCACTTAGGGCCCAGCCACACTGAGGGCCCAGTGTGGCCCAGACTCAACTCAGCACCTTGTCCGTGTCCTCCTCCCTGTGGCTCAGCATTTCAGCTAAAGATCCAGCACCTTCCACTTCCCCAGGTGGCCCCGGGACCCGGCCATCTGGACTGTGTCTCTCCCTGGCCTGGACTCTAGTTGTACCTGGCTGGCGCACTTCCGCCGGCCACCCTGCCCTCCATCCCCTCACTACTGGTCTGGGCATCTTTCAGAAATGCAAACCAGAGGCCCTTCTCTGACTTGAGTCTTTCAAGGATTTCTTGGCTCTTCCCTCTCCCTTGGGCTCTGCCTGGGCCGCAACTCCCCCCCTTCCTCAGCGAGTGAATAACCGCCTGCCTGGTCTTCCAGATCCCACAGCCTCCCTACTGGCAGGTATGGCCTGCTCCTGCCCAGGCCGCCTTCCTTGCCCGTTCTGGATCTCTCCGGACACTTAAGTGCTCTGCTGCCCACACTCACTCTGATTTACATGGCGGTTTCTCCCGTGAGACTTTAGAGCTATGTCTTATTTTCCGCCATGTTGTTAGGCCCCCGCTGGGTCCTGGGGGCTCAGTAAGTGTTGGTCCAGTGACTGGGTGCATGAAGAGAGGGGTGAGGCAGCGCTCCTCTCCGCCCCTTCTTTAGAGAACTCCTACTCCACGCCACTGATGTGGGAGATGACTAAGCACTGCAGATGACAGTGCTGCCGGAGAGGGAAGAACTCCATAGCTGGCAGCAGAAGGGTCCTGCAGTCGAGTCCATTGTGCCTGCCATGTGCCCTGGGCAAGTCACGTCGCCCTCTGAATTTCTGCTTTCTCGCTTTTCTTTGTTTTCGTTTTCAGCTTTTTTTACTTCCTCATTTATAAAGTAAGCATAGGATTATTCTTAGGGTTATTGGGGGAATTTAAAGAGAGGATTAGTTAGCGTGTCCACCACAGTTCCTGGCACACACTACACGTGTCCTCAGTAAATGTAAGTTGCTTGTGAATGGGGAAACTGAGGTGCAGAGCCATTACCACATGGAAAGGCGTAGAACCTTTGGCTCCTGCTCTGGGCTTCTTTGTATGTTGTCCCTGGCTCTGGCTCAGTCCTTAGCCCCAGTCAGCAATCGAAGCTCTGTGCAGGGTGGGGGTAGGAGGGTGCTGCAGAAGGAGGGGTGTGTCCAGACCTGAGCAGCTGCGGATTGATGAAGGAGATCAGGTCTTGCATCAGCTTGTAGCATGCGCAGACGAGTAAGCGGTAGCCAAAGGTTGCCAGCAGGGTCTTCAGGAAGGAGGGCTCCCTGGGCCTGGCCTGGCCCCCCAACAGCACCTCAACCTCACTGGGGACTGTCTTCCCAGATACCACTACAGCCTTGTTTCTGGTCAGGGGAGAAAGGAGGATGGTTAGAAATGGGCATACGAGGCCAAGGGTATCTAGGGCCGGTGAGGTCGGAGAGGCGGATTTGGGGGTGGCAGCAGCAAGGAGGGGAAGGACAGGTTGCTGGGGGACAGATAACATGACCTGCCAGCTAACTCCCCCAAAGGCCTGTGTCTTCGGGCACTTATGGGCATATGATGAGGTATCCACATCCCCAAGACCGTAAGCTGACCTCTGGCCCTCTTCCTGTCTCCCCAGGATTTGCCCTTGGGTGCCGAGAGGGAGGATGGCCCATGGCCCAGTCAGTGGGGGGGCTCAGCAGGGAGGGGATGGAGATGGCGGTGGGGTGGGGAGCAGGGTAAGCAGACCGGGGGCTGTATAAGTCATGGAGGCCAAGACGCCGCTAGCTACACCCAAGTCCCTGGCTCCTCCTGTCAGTGACCAGGGGCCCTGGGCGGAGCCAACACTGGGCCTGGCCCCAGCTGCAGGTGAAAGGGCAGGGGATTGCCTGGAGGTGCAGGGGGAAGTGGGTAGGGAAGGAGAACTCTGAGCCCCCTCCTGGCTGGTCTGGCTCCTGAGTCCTTGAACAGATGCCCGTGGATACCCTTCCATCACTGGATCATGCCCCGCGGCCCCGCTCCAGACCGGAAGAGGCAGGGTTGAGAGAAGGCTTGGCCTCCTCCACACCTGAGGGCCGTTCCTGGATCTACCCTTCAGGCGGGGAAGCGTGTGCAGTGCTGAGTGCAGTGGGCCAGACAGCTGGCATGGAGTCTGCCTCTGCCACCCAGCTAGGAGACCCTGGGCGTGCCATAGACCCTGCGCCTCCGGACACCTGCCATCTGGGGCAGTGGGGCAGAGAACTACACTGCGGGCTGCTGGAGAGGAACGGAACTGATGGACGTGCCTGGAGGAGAAAACGCGCTACAAAAGTCGTTCTCTAGCCTCAGCAGAGCTGGGGAGAGCAGCCCACCCAGGCCTCCTGCCTCTGGGCACCAGTCGTGGCCACGTCCACATACCCTACCCTGTGCTCATCCCAGAGCCCTGCAGGAGATCTGGCGCAGCTGAAGGCACCAGGATGGAGGGTCTTACAGAGCCGCTTGCTTTTGCTGCTTCTTCCAAGCCTCCAGCAGCTTCTGCATCACCTCCTGGGAGCTGTCCTCTTTATTCAGGGGCCAGAGGTCCTTCTCCTCCAGGGGACGCCGATAGCCGAGGATGATCATCCTGGTGCAGGGAGGCAGCCCCCACAGCCCCCGCCCAGGATCATCAGACTTTAGCAGCACCAGGGCCTCCAGAAAGGAGGGTCTCCCCAAGGTGCAGAGGCCAAGGGAGGTGTCTCCTTTATTCTTCCAGGGATAGAACTGGAGGTCACTGCCTCCCTCCCCCAACCCCTTCCCCAGGTGCTCCACTGACCCCTGGGCCTGGTGGTGAAATCTAGGCTGGGGCTCTGGACAAGGACACGGCTGGCTGGACGGCCCCCACCCAGGCGCCTCCACAGAGCAGCGCGGTTAATGAGCTGTCAGCCAGGTCACAGGCACAATTACCCTGCTCTAGCGGGCCTGAGGGGCGGCCAAGGAAATGACAGACTGCAAGCTTATCCCAGACCAAGGAGCTCAGAACTAATTACGGTCTCCCTCCAGGCCCAGGCCTGTCCCTGTGGCTGCCAGATGCCGACTGGCCTGCAGCCTGGGATCGGAGCTAGGCCAAGCCCAGCCTCGGTGCTCAGCCCCCCGCCCAAACAGACAGGTTCTCCCACTCAATTGCCCTAAACCTCCTGCGGCAAGGGGCTGGGGTGGGAGTGGTGATCAAGAGTTCTCATTCCCCAGGCCCCTGTCCTTCCTGCCCAGCCTGTCCCCTTTCCTTACTCTCACCCTGTGCCCCCACCCTCACCCTGCCCAGGCTACAGGAAGAACCAACTCACTCTGTGAACCACCAGAAAGAAAGGCGCGAGAGGAAACCCGCACTGGCTTCTGGGCAGGGTCTCTAGAAGGCAAGAGAGTCAGAGGGGAGCATCAGGGGTGCCCACCGCCCACTCAGGGCAGAGCAGGGGAGGAGAGCTCAGCGCCTCCTGCTCCAAGCCCCAGGTTGCACGTTGTGAAGATGATGGACGTGAGGTGGGAGGCACCTGAAGGCGTGGGGATGCTGGTGAGGGCTGGGCTGAGGCTGGACTGGCGAATCCCCACTACCTGCCCGCTCATGGGAAACTCACAGGGTCGAAATTCTTTGGGGAGAAAAATGGCAGCTTCTCTCTGAAGCAGGACAGGATGAGGGCCAAGAAGACCAAGGTAAAGTAGATGTAGAAGGTGGTAAAGCGGAAGGGTTCTGAGATCCTGCCCTGCAGGGGGGGAGGGCGGCATCAGAGACTCCCAGGCCTGCAGTGTCTGCCCTGAGGAGTCCTTTGGACTACGGGGGCAGCCTCCAGAGCCCCTGATCCCCATGCAAGAGAATTCTGGGAGACAGGGAGGGGCACAGTGGAGGCAGAGTTTAGTGAGGACTCGCCCTGCGCCCAGTAATGTGCCAAGCATCTTATCCATGTCACCTTGTCCAACCCGCCCTCCCTCCAAGGTAGAGAGCTCTAGGACACTGGTTTGCGACAGAGGAGACGGATTCCAAAGGGCTAAGCAAGTTGTCCAAGATCACAAAGAATAAGCAATTGCTCCATCTGTGCTCTTACAAGCAAAACTGGCTTCCTTCCCTTGGGAAGACAAATAGGGGGGAGCTACAAGGACCCCCCAGTGTTCCATTACCCCATCACTCCCACCCCCACCAAAGACCAAGAGGATGACCAGGAACGGAGGATGGTGGGAAGAACAGCAGAGACCAAGGTTCTGGGACTGTAGGCAGGCCTAAACTCCTCAGGCACGTTTGCATGCCTGTGGTCATTCTGCAGGACCTGGGGGCCACCCTGGCCAGACACGGCACATGGTGGCGGCCCCCCCTCCCACTACCACAAATATCCAACAATGGCCGTCTCTTCCCCATCCCCCTGACTACTTGGGTCCTCAAACCCACACCCCAGCCTGCTTCTGGACAGAAATGTAAGAAATAGGGAAAAAAACAACAAGGACTCAACAGCAGAGGGGAGTGGCTCTGCGGGACACCGTGGCGACCCGAGTACTCAGGTGTCCCCAGAAGGGCTGTTCCCTTCTTTCCCCTTACCTCTGCCAAAGCCGAAAGGATATTGGAGCGGAAGGGGATGATGGCACAAGTCACACACAGGAACCAGAAGATGATAAGGACCCCTGAGGAATGCACCCCCTTCAACCGCTCATACTGGATCAACACGGTGGCCAGCAGCTGTGCAGGGAGGGCAGAGGGCGCTCAGGGAAGACTGCCCACATGTCAGCCTGCCTCCCTCCTCCCTGCCCTATGTGGCCAGATGTTTCTGGACTCACTCTCATCCCAGCACCAAGGTGTCCTTCCTTCTCCTCAGAGTCCAGTGTTCCCCTATCACCATCCCACAACCCACTGGAAACCCTCCCCCATTCAGCTTCCCAGGCCCCCACTGACCATGGTGACCCCCACCACTAAGGGGGTGATAAAGAAGACAGGGACAGGGGCCCAGCCATGGCTCAAGAGGTAGAAGGAGTAGAAGAGGTCGGTCCAGGAGACACCCCACAGCAGGACGCCCACGACCTACGGACAGGAGACAGGTTGGGGCCTCCAGCTTCGGAAGGTCTGACAGTCCCGTGTTCCCAAAGCCCCCAGAGTTGTCCTCGCCTGGCCTGAGGCCTGGGCTGGGAGCTGACCAGAAGCCTCTCCAGGGTAGGCAGTGTTGCTGGGGAGCTTGTCTGAACTTCCCCACACAGAGAGGCTCTCACTGGCGGCAGACCAGGTGTAGGCTGCTATGGTCCTGGGCTGCAGGTTGGGTAAGACCAGGAAACCCAGCCCAGGTGTTGAGGGTGGTGGGAGAATGCCCAGCCCCAGTCCCACCGCAGGGGCGCCCCGAGCCCCTGACCGTCTTGAGTCTGCACAGGCAGGAAAGGATGATGTAGCCTCGGTCGTGGCGCTGCAGGTAGAACAGGTACCAAGGCAGTGCTGCCCACAGGTAGATGCAGGGGACCCAGGCCAGCAGGGAGTTCTGGAAGCAGGGAGTGAGGTCCGGGTTGTCTGCGTGCAGGGACAGGTTGGAGTCCTGGGGACAGAGAGAACAAATCAGTGCCCGTGAGGGGGACTGGGCCAGAGAGCGACGGTGCCACATTCTCTGGGGACAGGTGTGTGGAGGAGAGTGGCTAAGTAGGTTTGTCCAGTCAGAGCTCTCTGGGGAGGCCAGGGTCGCCCCCCTTTGCTCTCTCAAGGTCAAGCTAAGGAGGTGACAGTTCTCACTCCTCCCAGGCAACTACTCATCTTTCTACCATTCTGGATTTCCACCTTTTTCTTCAATTAATTTTTAGTTTGATCAAAGCAATTGATGCACACGGATTAAGCGTCTGTTTCCTCTTTAAGCCTCTCCTGGGGAAGTGGTAGGGGATGCCTCTGAACCTTCCTTGCTTCTTCTTTAACCCGCCTCCCTTACAGGGTGGTGTGAGCTCAAAGGAGCAAGGAGGTGAGCAGAGGCCTTTGTAAGAGTATGGGGTAACAACACCCCAGCAGCTGGGACTGCCCTGGCTTAGTTCTGAAAGTAAAGATGCGGGGAACCTCTGGGAACAAAAAGCCCCCTCTTGAGTCTGAGTCTGAGTCCACCTACGGATTTCCTTGGGAAGAGACCAGGAACACACTACAATGCTTACTTCACTGAGACAGCTTCTTTCAAGGTTCTCCAAAGAACTAGCCTTACCTCAGGCACCCTAAGCCTCAGGAAGCCTAGAAAACAAATCCATAATCCCACCTGCCTGTTCACACAGGAGATTATTACTCCCTTCTACCTTCTACCAGTTTAAATAGTTAATCATTTTCTTGTGCAACTTACACATGCACGTAAATGAAAAAGTCAGACTCATCAAGAAAATGGTGCCCGGTGCTGGTCCCATTTCCGAAGGGGACTTGTGTTGAAAAATGCTAATTCACTCTGGTAGCTTTCAAATTTTCAAGCAATTTGCTTTGACTGTTATTATTTGATCTACCATTATTTGATCATTGCTATATTCTTATGTTTTGAAAGGCAAGCCCGTACCTCGAGGATCCCCTTTCCACGAACTCCCTTGCCCTCCCAGGGGTCAAGTATCACGGGCTGTTTTTAAATACCCACTCAGAGTTCAGGATCTTTTAAAACTATGTAAATACTGTAAAGCTCACCACACCTTTTTTATTCTTTCTCCTGAGGTTACTAGCCTAAAAACATTTTTTTTTTTTTGGTTTAGTTTTCCATTAGTTCCCCAACTGTCCCACAGAAATGTAAACGCTCTCCCTCTCAGAGCCAGGGGTAGAGAGACAGCAGATAATTCATCAGCTCACTCCCCCCACCGCCCTCCCCCTGCCCTCAACCCCCTGTTCTCTGCTTCCAATATGAACTTCTTTATGAGCCTGCTAAATAGCTTTGTTCCCAGAACTTTCCTTCACTGTCATCCCTTGGCTTCCTTCCCGTGGTGGATCCCATTTTCTAAATCTCTCATCTTCTCTGTCTTGACTCTGTGGCGCTGTGAGCAAGCACGCATCTATAATTTCCTAATAAAGAGCAGGCAGGAAGACTCGGTCTCTTTCTTTTTAAAAAATAATTTGCAAGTCTGAAATTGCCTTTGTTCGACTGCTTCAGTTGACTGAATGTACTTCCCAGCTCTCTAGCCCAGCCCAAGCCTCGCCTCCTCTGGGGACTTATTTTTTTCTTTTTTTTTTGTCCTGGGGCACCCCAACCTCTGATTGGGCCCTTCCTTGCTTTATCGGGCATGAAGTGGCAACCAGTTAAGTGACAATTACCTGGGGGTGATGAAGTTTCCTAATGTTGAGAGACATTTTTATAAACGCTCAGGGGGTCATTATCTGGTTGTTTCAGAACAACCTCTAGAAGCAGAAAGCAACAGCACACTTTGGCCTGGCTTGAGAAGTAGTAACGCCACTTGCTCTGGCAACAGGTCCAAGAACGCCTGGCAGCGTGGACCTGCAGCCAGCACCCAGACCTCGTGACGCCAAGCTGCCCTGCCCGTGCTACCTGGCCTGCATGGGTGAGCACATAGCCTCTCCTGCAGCAATGTGAGCTCTTGAGGACAGACGCTGGGCTCTACTCTTAGTCCCCTTCTCTCTGGCTCCCTACCCACCAATTCCTGTCACAGGGCGAGGTAGGCAAGGGCAGCCCAGAAACAGTCTATACACTGAGTGATGAGTGATGTGTGTGTGTGTAGGGGGCCAGGAGCTGAGTTCAAGGCCATGACGGGGACTGGGGTGTCACTCAGGTGTGGCAGAGAGTGGGCACGGAAAGAACAGGACCCCATGCAGAGGGCCCAGTAGGTGGTGCCATTTTGACCCACAGAACTGACTGTGAATTCCTTCATCTCTCTAAAACCCTCAGCCTCCCCCAGCGGAATGGGGGTAAGGACAGCATCCCAGTCAGGTCCCCATGAGGGAGAGGATGAACCTCAAAGCACTTCACACAAACAGAGCAACTCGGAGGGAGGGCGCTGGAGCAAGAGGCGACTGGAACCTTGTCTTAGTTTCACAGATGTGCTTCACTGTGCCCACAGCCATGAGATTGCAGGGGTGTGAGAGCCAGATAGCCACTCTGACTCATCAGGAGGTCCAGCCTGGGCTCCATCCCATCTGTAAGCAGGTGCCAAGTAGGCAGCATACTCCCCAGGAGGCAGCAGGCAGCTATCCACACCTGTGTCCCAGACTGCTCAGCCGAGAGGGCCTCCCCACCCCCCACCGGGACATGAGTGGGCCTGTCATACACAGCTTGTCCGGCCCTGGACTCCGGCTCTGCCACCCCTCTCCAACCCGCCCACCTCAGTGGATAGCAGCTCCTCCCAGGCCAGAATCCTTGGAGTGGGCCCCGACTCCTCTCTTTCTCTCATACTCCACACCCAACCTTCCAGCAAATCCCATCTTCTCTACCTTCAAATTGCTGGTCTGCATGGTAAGTAAGTGCTGTAGTAGACTGTTCTTAGGTTCTCTTGAAACACCCAGCACCTGGTCACTTCTCTCCCCTCCGCACTCCCCAGGCTCTCTGCGGGCTTCCTGCTTCCCCCACCATTTACCTGGTGGTCACGGTAGCCCACCACACCACTAAGTCATGCCTGGGGAAAGCCTCCCTGTTTCACTCAGAATATAACCCAAGACCCCACCTGGCACTCAAGACCCTCATTCTCTACGCCCACTAGTTCTCTGACCTCCTCACCACACTTCCCTTGTTTACTGCCATACACCCTCTGGCCTCTTTAGGACCCCCAAACCTCAAAAGTCAGGCTGAGCTTCCTCAGGCAATGCCACTGGCCCCCTCACCAGCTGTCAATGCTTGCACAGTTCCCCCTTTCTCATGGAGGTCCACCCTGACCTTCCTAATGAAACTGCATCTCATTTCCTTTCCCCCCGTTCCTGAACCCCCATGCCTTTCTGCTGTCCAACTTTCCCCATAGTTCTCATCAGCTTCTGTGTAGGTACAGAAACTATGTCACGGGGTTACTTATGTTTTCTGTTGAGTTTCTGCTTCTTCCCACTGGAGTGTGTGGCCCGTGAGGACAGTTTGCTGTTTCTGTAGACCAGCATACTCCTTGCTACCTAGTACAGTGCCTGGCACATCTGTTGAACAAAAGAATGAGCCAATGAAGGATGCTCTCAACAGCCCAGTTCTGCAACTCTGTGCCCAGGAGCAGAGGGTGCTCCCTTCCTACACCAAGGCTGGAGCCTGGGCATCCCTGGGGGTCTCGATCCAAAGAAAGTCAAAAATAAAGGGCAGAGACAGTGCAGGTTACTTCTCAAGTCTCTGATGCTGCCTGCAATCCAGACAGGCAAGATGGATGATCCTTTCTTCATTCCCACACTGAAGCGCACGGGCTGGGCCGAGAGCATGGCCCACCGCCCCCTCCCCTGCTGTCACCCACACAGTTTCCACAGCAACAACCACTTCTTAATAATGCGATTATGCAGCTGGATGGGGCTGATAAGGTAGAAGGTCCAGCACCCAGAATGGACGGCACACAGAGGCCTTGTCACGGCATTGAGGCTAAAATCCCTGAAGACTCGATCAGCAGGCAGGTGGGATGCGGGCCCAGCTGCAGACCCAAGGTGAGGCAGCTTTTCCCAAGCTGGGCCCCAGCTCTCTCAGGGACTTCCCAGGCCCCCAGCCAGGCCCCAGGGGCGTTGACAGCTTCTGTTGTGAGAAGAGTAATTACTTCCTTAATCTGTGCAGTGGGGAGAAGGGATTAACTGACTGGGTCATTTATCTCAGAAGAAATGGAGATATGGGAAGGGCCAGGGCCTGCTCTGATCCTGCTCATGCTCACTGACCTACATGAAACAGCAGCCTCTGAAAGGGCCTAGGGTGGGGGGCAAAACCTGGCTGTGGGGACCCATCAACAGCTCTCTGGTGCAGCTGGCCACCCTCTTCTGGAAAGGACCACCAAGAACTAGGTGGCTGGATAGTCACTTAATGTTTACAACAGCAGCCACCCATAGCTGGTTCGTGAGCCCCGGCCCTCAGCCACGGGGTTGGGGGTGCTTCCTCTACACCCTGTAGGGCTCCCATTTGACACCTTACCTTGGCACTAGAACACAAGCATCCAGCTCAGCCAAACATTTAAAAATCTCCCTTCAGCCATGCAACTGGCCTGCAATCACTGCCCCAGGGAAGGGGCTGCTACCACAGGGTTTCACATTAGCTGGGGTTCTGGGAATCACTGCACTAGAAACCTGAATATCCAGTTGGAAAACGAAATCCAAACCACCAGAAAAGGTCTGGTGGGGGAGGGGGGCGGTCCAGCCACCAGGCAGTGGCACACCCTTGCACACACAAGTCTCACCCTCTCAGGGATCCTGTCCCACCTGTTGCCTGGGACAGCCCCACCAGGAAGGGGTGGGCACAGCTCAGGGACTTTGATCCTGCCTCCTGCATGGGTCAGCTTGCAATCCCCACTGGGACTTCCCTTCCTGGGAGGCCCAGGCCCAGTGTGCCAAGACCATTTCCCAATCTGGGGACGAGCAGGCAAACTGGGCAAAGTTCCCTGCCAAATGCCACTTTCCTGACTCACTTCCTCACTTAAGTCTCCAGACCCTGGTCCACGGGCTAGGGGGAGCAACGGGCTGGAGAGAAGCAAGCCTTGGCCCAAAGGAACCAAATCTTCCCGTCAGAAGTCGGAGCTTGGAGGTCAAAGCTGTCTAATACCAGCGTGGCTGCCCCCAGTAAAGGAGGGAGGGCAGGCCTGGCCTGGCAGAGGGAGACTTGGCACCCACGTCCCATTGGCCCAGCTCAAGGGCAGACCTCTACTCATTCCCCACAGCTCTGCCTGTCACTGTTTTTCTCTAGAGTCCAAGTACGTTGAAATCAGGGCCTCATCCATTACTCAGACATTCTAGTGGCTGACCGCCTTCGCAGGCTGGGCAACGGCCCAGGAGGGAGTCCAGGAGGTCCTAGACACTAGGGAGCCTCAAGTTGGGAGGACCTTGATCAGGGCCTAGGACTGAATCTGGGGGTCAGCCTCAGGTAACTAAATCTGAGGGGGATCCCAGAACCCACCTAAGCCAAATCCGGAATCCGGAGTGATTTGCCCAGGATCGCACGGCTAGTGAGTGACAGAATGGGATTAGCTGGGACAGAGAGGTGACATGGAAGCTGAACCTCCGAGGGAGCTTGTCCCTCCCCAGGGTGGGTATCAAGCTACCCTTCAGTGGGACTTCACCCCATCAGTGACGTCATTGGGGTCTGAGCAGTGCGAGCCACGCCTTCCACTATGCCTCTATTGAGAATTGCTATGAGGTCCACCTCATGCCTCAGGGGGACAGAGACAGAGACAGGGAAAAGAGCACTGGAAGCCTGAGGAGTTGTCCCCTGTCTCCCACTGACCCCATTTCCCCTCCTCCCAGCTGGTCACAGACTTTCAGGGGAGGACCCCATCTCCTTCTTTGACTTGCATCTTGTCTCCAGCATCCCTGCCAAGAGGTCATTGACCAAGGCTAATTGCTGGCACCCAGTGATGCGGTGCTCACTACTCAGACAATCAGTCCACCTTTGGACTTGTCCCACGGTCAGCTCTCAGACTTCTGAGCTCATATCAGGCCCGAGGAGGTTCCTGGGGTTGCCAGATCAAGACCAACTCTGCAAACGTATTCTGAGGGTGAGTGGCCCCAGGCCTGGCCTCTGTGCACGCTCTTCTCCACCACTACTGATACTTCTAACCGCCTCTTCTCAGAAGAGAAAGTGATGTCCTGGCAGAAGGCAGCAGGGGCTGCCCAGGACACCACCGCCTTTGCTCTAGAAGCTTCTCATGAATCCAGGGCAGATGGGCCACAGTTCACACTTTTGGAATTTATTTTCACCAAAACTCCTGGGGATACCAGAGATGCTGCAGAGAGCAGAGGCCAAAGAGCCCCAAAGAAAGAATAGCAACATTCTCCAGCACATGTGTGTGTGAGAGAGCCTGCTGTCTGGTGTGTGTGGCGTGTGAGAGCGCACCTGCCCAGGGGATCATCGGTCTCAGGTTTCACTGGGGCTGAGTTGATGGATTAAGCCACAAAATCCCCAATAAACAACAGAGATGGAGACCCCGGTCCAGCAGGCCTGCCTGCCCCATTCTTGTGGGTCTTCCTAGACCTGACTTCCCCTTCTAACTTCATTCTTCTTTCTTTTTCTTGCTCTTCCCAGGAATATCAGGATCTATGGCCCACAGGGAGTCTCCAGTTCACAGAATCATTTACACCCCCATCCATTTGATCCCCAGGATATCTTGAGAGAGACAGGAGATGGGTTTTTCCCCCTTTTATGCGTGGAGCAAGAGGACTCTGCCGATAGTTAGTAGGAAGGTTTGGTGAGATAGGGGTCTGCTCCCACCCGTCACTCTTTGCAGGTACTTCCTAACTGCCCTGAGCTACTTCCCATGCAGGGGTCATCCACACCCTCTAAGATAAACGATTCCCAGGCAGACACATCTGAACAGTATACCATGCAAAGGAGATGCAGAATAGTGCCCCAGAAAGAGGCCCTACAGGCCTCTGGGTAGCTGAACTAGAGCTGAGCCCATAGCTCCAGCCCCTGCCGCAGACCCTCCGCCATGCAGCTGGAACAACTTTCAGGAATCAAAGAAATAATGTGGACAACAGTGAGTATTTAGAGATCTGAGTGAGGACAAGGATGGATGATGAGGCCGTTCCTGTGACTGGAGGAATCCCGGAGGGAGCCAACATAGGATTCCCCCATCGGGCCTAATACAGATGGCGCTGACTGCCACAGGCCCTGAGGTCCTCAGAGCGGGCACATACAGCCCATGGACAGCAAGAACCTCAAGGTGAGGGGCCCAGCAGCCAAAGTGCACAGCCAAACAATGGTGAAGTTGGGATCATGCTTCTCAGACCAGCACACTACAGCGGATGCTCTGTGACCTTAACAAGGTTGTTCTTTCCCTAAGCCCCGGTTTCCCCAGCTCTAGATGAGTGGTTGGGCCAGCTGCTTCTAACATTCTTGGGTCCCACAGTGTCATGGGAGGGTTGATCCAAAGGATCTCTAAGCATGTACAAGAAGGGAGTCCTGAGTTCCCAACCCTGGGCTCCATGATGCCCACCTCTGAGCGGTCTTGAGCTCTCAGAGTTACCTGCCCACTCAGGAACAGGGCACTGAAGACTTGGGCATAACTCTCCCCTGGATTCAAAAGACACCATGGCCATGCCCTGACCACACAGCCCAGGCTCAAGTGGCAGTGAAAGCATGTCTGTAAACTGATGGCCAAAGGGACAGATGCTGGACTCTGGTGCCAAGTGACCTGTCTAGACTGTATGACTGTGGGACTGGATAAAAAGGGGAACAATGTCCACCATCTCTGAGTAACCCTTTACTGACCCAGAAAAAAAAAACCAGAGAGCCCTAAAAGATACTATTTTTACCCCATGAACCCAAGTTGTCAAAATCTATGAAACCCCTGCATTCCATTTCTAACATGGCCAGAGCTGAGCAGGGTTCCTACGCACACACACACACATCCACACATGTGCCCACACACCCACACAAACACGCGCCCGTGGTTAACACCACTGGGCACACATGTGCACATATGTGCAAATACTGGAAAGGAGGAAAAGACAGAGACCTGGGTTCGGAGGTTCTGGATTTGAGACCAGCCTTTGCTGGCAACTCCTAAGCGCCCATAGACAAGCCCTCCCAATCTGACCCCATTTGCAAAAGGGACCCACTACCTGCTTCCCAGAGCTGCAGCGAAGCTCTCAGGAGCCACTGTGAACAGGCTGGAAGGCTGTAAGAGGCGGTCTCCACTCAAAGCTGTGCTGGAAGATGGCACTCATCTTCGGAAAGGACTTGGCACGAGCCAACCCGCGTTCTCTATCCCAGCTCTGCCTTCTCCCAAGTGGGTGATCTGAGCAAGTCCCCTTCTCTTTCCTGGCCTTCCTTTCCCCATCTGTAAACAGAGGGGGGTGGAGGGGCCCAATACCTTAAACCTGTAGGGACCTGTCTCAAGTGGAGGGCTACCTCCCAGTAGCATCTCCTGCCCTGCTGGCTCTTTCTCAGAGGAAAGAAGGTGACAGCAACCTTTTTCAAGGTTGAACAGTTGTTCTGGATGCCCTGTGAACACCTGGCAGGTGTGGGGAGTGGGGGGTGAAAGACAGAGCCCCCCCCCCCCCGGGCAGGTGCTGAAGTGGCCATCAGGCATCAGCTGATGTGGAGATGTAGCCTACAGTTGGCCTGAGGTCAGCCCAGAGGAGGGCCTGGGGAAGCAGCCCTCTGGACACCTTTGCACTCCCAGATGCCTGCCCCTGCGCCAAGGTGGCTAGTGTCAACTTTCCCAGCCTGCTGCTTGCGGCTGGGGGAGCACTGGGCAAGTCCCAAAGACTGGGAGGGACTGAACTCTGGGCAGTACAGCCAGGATCTGTCCTGTGGGAGCTTTCAGGGCTTGCAGGTGTGCGCCCTCGGTCTGGACACTTCTGGTCCCTCCTCACCGGGATCCCAGAGTATCACGCCTTACCCAGAACTTGGAGCGATACTCCCCGGAGGAGCTGGAGCCGGAGTCGCACAGGGTGTCCATGGGGCCAAGGCAAGGCGGCTGCACAGTGGCCTCTCTGGCCAGGACTAAGCCAGCCCCTGGAGTCGCCTCTCCCGCCCTCTACCCTCTCGCTCCGCCTGACCGGCACGCCCCACTGGAGCCCTACCCCTTCTTGTTCGCCCCAGAAAATTATCACCAGCGCCTCCTTTAAATAAGGCAGCTCTGGGAGGGAGCCGCTGACACAGCCCCCTCCAGCGGCCACTGGGCCGCGCCGGAGAGTTGCCCAGACACTGAGCCGGATTTGGCCGGAGGTCTGTTTCCAAGGAGCCTGCTTCCTGTAGGCACAGCCCCACGCGCCCGCCCGGAGAGCAGAGCCTGCAGGCGCCACCAAGAGTTGGTGAAACCCTGATGACGTCCCGTCCCGTCCCGTGCATCTCTGGACCCCAGTCTCCTCCTCTGAGATGGAGAGGACTTTATGCCCAGGCTACCCTGAAGGCTCCTTGTCCCACCCAAGCTGTGCAGACACATATAGATGTGTCACCCAAGGAGTGGGGAGGCTTGGGGGGGGGTGTCCCAGCATAGACTGGGGATGGTTGCTATGATTCTCTCCAATGGCTGCTTTCCTAAGGTCTGTGGTGTGTCCTTTGGTGCTTCTCTGTGTCTCCACTTTCACTTCTGTAAAACAGGTGTGATCTCAGCCCTTGCGGCAGAGGGTTACCTGCGGATGCCAGGCACACTTGGTAGACACCCACTGTTCGCTTCTTTGCAGCCTGGTCAGGGTGGGGGGTAGCAGGTGAAGCCCCAGGAAGAGCCTCACATTAGCACCCTTCTAAAGCCCATCTGTAAAAATGAGGGTTTGCACAGTGTTGAACAAATAGTGTATGCCCCACGATGTATCACTTTGAATTAAAAAATTACCTGAAGGTGGCACAGCCACCTCACTGGTGGCACAGCCAGTTAGTACACAGCACTGCAAGCTAGCCACAGCCACTTCAATGAAAGTTCAATCCTTGGCGCCAGAGGTGATCCACATAGCAAGTCAGACCTCTCCTCACCTGCCTGCTGCTCCCCTCAGCAGTGTACTTTGTCGATCTTCCTCTTCTGTGCCCCACTCTGTCTCTGGTGAATCTTCTCACCACCCCTGCACCTCTCGCCTGTACCCCAGTTCTGTGTAAATAAAATTTAAAAAAAAATTAATAAAAAAAAAATGAGGGTTTGCCCTCAGTGGCCTCCTGCTTGCCCCAGCTTGGCCTTGGCTCAGATCCCTCCCTTCCTCCCTCGTGCCCCACCCTCACTCCCCCAGTCACCTTCTGGAACAGGATCCCAGAAACCGATTCATCACCCTTGCAGGAGCTGGGAATTTTCCTCTGGCAGCTCTTCTCCAGCCTGTCTCTCCCTGGCCCTCACAGCCCCAGGCTTGTCCCTGTCAGCAGGGTCTGCTCAGGTTGGCTGTGGTGATCCCTTCCCTGACACTTGTTCTCAGAGGTGTTTTCTCCTTTGGCTGCTCCCCAGCAGGTGTGGGTGGGCACCAGGGAGACAGCAACTAGCCACCACCTGTCCCCCTGGGCCTGCAGGAAGTCACCAGAAGGAAGGCTCTTCGGTCATGGGCTACCAGAACAGAGATCTGAGTAGGCACATGGGGTGGGGGCACTGGAGCATGGACAAGGCACCCCTTTAGATCCCCCCACACTGGGCCAGTCCTCTCAGACCTTTGTCTGCCGCTCACACCCCCCGCCCCCATCTCTGAGTCAAAGGCTTTACAGAGCGTTCACACTCTTGTCACAGTGTACCTTGGGTTATATTTAGCTGTGAGAACCTGTCTTCCCTGCCTGTCTGAGAGGTCCCCCAGGGCAGTGATTGACTGAGGCACCTCCAGCCCCCGCCCTGCCTGGGGCAGCGCCTTGGTGGACCATGTGGCCTCCACACGCCAGTTGATGTGTCTCTTCAGCAACTTGGACAAGACTCCGCCTGAGGTCTCCTCCCGCCCTGGTGAGGGAAGCTTCTAGGCCTGAGTCACTGGGACTCCTCCTCCAGTCCCTCCTCTAGTTTGAGGCGAGGACCCCTGGGCGCTGACTTCAACACTGGGGCTGAAGTGCCGGTCCCCTTCGGCCTCAGCCTTCCGTTGGAAAGAGGCCCTTGGTGAAGGCCTCTGAGGCCACGGCGGGAGGCCTGGCAATCCTCGCTTTCTCCCCTCTCTCTTGGGCCTCTGGGGGTTCACCCTTCCTGGCGTCCATGGGCTGTTGCCCTTTCACACAGCCTTAGAATAACTACCAAAATAACCACCAGGGCAAAAAAACCGAGGCCCTCAACATCTTACCCGGCAGAGGCAGCCTGAGCTCCCACTTCTCGGCGCTGGGCGGGTCGCACACAGGCTGCTCTCGCGAGATAGCCCCGATCCTCAGCTCAGGGCCCTGCCTGCCTAGAGGCTGGTGGGCTTTCTGCCCCTGCATTCCCCCTTCTGCCCCTGTTCAGCCCTGGCAAATTCTACTCAACCGTGAAGCTTTGGCTCAAGTCTACCACACCTCCTGCTCCAAGGCGTCCCGGCACCGCCCCCACCTCAGTCCTGGGCTGGGACCCTGCCAGCCAACCTTCCCTGTGTTACACTCATGGACTGCCTTGCTTACCTGCCCCAGAGGACCGTGGACACCTGAAGGATAGAGGTAGAGATAGGGGCTGCATCTAGGCTGTCGTGCACCTTCAACATCCAGGACAATGCCTGGCAAAGGTGGTCTTCGGGAAATGTTTGCTGACTGACTAAACAAGTACTTGTGTGCTAAGAAGGGAGGTGGCAAGGCCACTGTGGCATCGGATCATCCCAGCAGTGGGGCCGTCTGCACTGCTTTTTAGTTTTCAGAAGGAAGACATTTTTCCTGTAACAGGGTGGTCCCTAGGAAAAGGGAGGAGTGGAGCTGAGAAGAGAAAAAGAAGAGAAGGAATCTGAAGAAGAAGGAAGCAGGATGGAGAGCCAGAAGGAGACCTGAGGAAGCCGCAGGGAGCAGAGGGAGACATGTGAAGACACCGTGCTTGTTTCTTGGCCTTGGACTGGTGGAAACAGATGTGGGTGAGAGACCCGTGGGGAGGTGACTGACTATGGCAGCATTTACCTTGATTTTGATTGTGCTCTTTTCCTCCCAGACTCATCTGGCCGTTTCTGACCCTTTTCCATAGGTCCCGGCCAGAAGGTGCTTTGGTCTTGTGACGGCTTTCAGGACTTGCTTTGGGCCAATCCCTCTTGGGTTGACTTTTGTCCACGAGAGGATGGGTAACTTCAGGTGTTTGATTTAGACATTATATTCTTTGTCTTCTGTGTTGTTTACTCACTATATTAAAGTTCCTTTTCATTAAAGTCTTACATGTTTTGTCTTGATGTGGCAGATGGCAGAACCTATTTAGAGCAGGCAGATTTGGAGGTTCAAGGGTGCCCCTCTCTCCCTGCCCTGTAACATTTCCGGTGGAGACACCTGAGAGCACTGAAGATCTGAGGCAGAGAAAGGAACAGACCTCCCCTGGGGTAGAGGCCCTAGCCCCATCCTCTGACCCTCACCCCCGGGCCCCCCCCCTGTGAGCGGCTCTGTGGGGGTGTGGTTTTTGTGTGTTCTGTGTGTGCCCCCCCCCCCAGGGAGCATCCCCAGGGGAGCCAGCATGGGGATTTCCTGGCAGGGAGATGGAAAGATAAGATAATTGCCAGGTACAGGCTTAGAGGAGGAATGACAGCAGAGAGAAGAAAGCAGAGCAAGAGGGGGTGGAGGTGGTAAGTGGGGGAGACCCAGGTATAAAACATTGCAAAGGGGAGAGTCAGGTAGGAAGTGACAGTCGGGGAAGGGTGTGGAAGAGCAGGGGCAGGCTGTTCCTGTAGCCCCATTTGAAGGCCTGGGGCACCCCAAGACAGCCTCTGGGTTCCAAACTCCAGCCTCTCCGGTCTTTCCTCCCATCAACCGAGCGGGCTCTGTTTTCTCCAGAGCCCAGCCTGGTAAACCCATGCCGGGCCTCTGAAGGGGCTCGCGCTAGGCTGTCCTCCAGCATGTCAGCCCTGGCTGGGGTGCCCCATTCGGAGTTTTCAAAGCAAGAAGAATTAATTAGTTCTATGGGTCACAGTCAGCAGTTCTCACACCTGGACTGGCGCAAAGCCACACGGTCCCGAAGTTACTAGAATTCTCTCCTGGGCACTTTGTATGGAGCTGCCATCTCCTGGGCCTACTTCACTCTGCCCTCAAAGTGGGGAGCCGGCCCCCAACTAAACTCGCCTCTCAGAGTTGAATTCCCCACTGGCAACCACTCTCCCAGATTAGTTCTGTGTCCACTGGTTTAGGCAGGGACCTCTGGGTACCCTGAGCTTAGCACCTCAATGGGCAGGATCCATCTCCATCCCCTAACATATATACAGGCAAGTCCTACATTGGTCCTTCAAATATGTTTCCTCTGGGGGTGTTATGCAGAGCACCTGTTCTTCCAGGGTGCCCATTGGAATGGCTGTTCTCTCCCTGGACAGGTCCCTCTGCAGAAAGCGCACAGGGTGGCACCAGGTGAAGGGGCCTGGTGCTGCCACCTGGTGTCTGATGCCTTCACGATGAGGCCATAGCCAACCCAGGTTGGGCCACTGAGCTGGCGGAGGGGAAGCGAGGTCAGAGGCACCAGGCTGTGATGGGTGGGGACTAGGGGTTACAGTGGAGGCTGAGGCTGTCTGGAAAGTGGAAGAGGTCTGGGTGGGGCAGGGAGAGGTGAGGGGGGTGGGAGGTGGAGAACAGTGCCAGTGTGGAGGAAGATGGGACCCAGGTGACTCCAGAGCCAGGAGACCAGCCCTCTGACAAGTAACTGGAGCCGAGAATGCTTTCTCATGCCCAAGCCTGAGTGCACCAAGCTGGGAGCACGTGTACATTCAATGACATAAGTATGATTGCTTTGGTAAAGGCGCCCTGGCAATTCATTTTATAAGCAGGATTCCTCACACCCCATCCCGTTCCCTCCACAAAGATAAAAGGCTGGGGTGTAGTGAAGCCAGTAGGCTGGAGGGTGGTCGGACCTAGGATCAAATCCCTGCTCTA